ACATTGATGGTGTACGTTTGAGTCATTTGAGGTTTGCGGATGACAAAGTATTATTTAGTACAGATATCAAGGAACTGGAGCAAATGTTGAAGGAATTAAACCAGCAGTCAAATAAAATAGGTCTCAAAATGAACCTTCAGAAAACAAAAATAATGAGTAATTTACAAACTAATCTTGTTATTGACAACGTCAGTCTTGAAAATGTAGACCACTATATATATATATATATATATATATATATATATATATATATATATATATATTATATATTATATATATATATTATATATCTTGGACATACCATTAAAATCGGCAAAGAAAATCAAATAGCCGAAATAAAAAAGACGCATACAACTGTCTTGGGGAGCTTTCGGCAAATTAAGCTTTATTTTGAAGAATAAAGATATACCAATGTGTCTAAAACGTAGAGTTTATGACAAATGTATCTTGCCTGTAACTACCATATGGACTGGAGACCATGGTCTTCACAAAGAAAACCTTAGAGCAGCTCAGTACAACCCAAAGAGCAATGGAGAGGGCCATGCTAGGGATTAGTTTGAGAGACAGGATTCGAAATAACGTCATTCGTGAAAGAACAAAAATTACTGATGTCTCAGAACGTATTGCAAGGCGTCAAGTGGCAATGGGTCGGACACGTTGCCCGAGATAATCCTCGAAAAATGGACACAAAGATTAACAAACTGGAGACCAAGAGAGAACAGGCGAGGAGTAGGCAGACCGCAGAAGAGGTGGACAGACGATATCAAACAAGTCGCGGGCAAGCAGTGGATGAGAATTGCCAAAAGTAGAAATCGATGGAAGCTAATGGAAGAGGCCTATGTCCAGCAGTGGACGAACACAGGCTGAAGAAGAAGAAGAAGAATCTCCAGGTTATAGGAATATTTTTTATATCTATTTCTATTTCTGTCTTTTTTATGTTTATTTTTGGAAAATTACGCTCTCTTTATTTCCCTTCTCTTCATTTGTCCATCTTTGGATATATTTTACCATATAAAATGAATTATTTCTATTTTTTCCCATTTCCTTTAAACCACATGCCGTCGTCATTGTTCACCACCCATAAAGTTTTCCATTGTCATTAAATACAGTTGTGAAGAAAAAAATGTGTTATATTCTCTTTTAATTCAAATTTTAATTAAAATCGCATAAAATCCCTGCAAACAGCCTCTGACAACCAATTGACATCTAATTTACTAAGCATTTACAAACGTAAAAGAACGTTGATAATTGAGTTCCCCGTATTCCATACAAAGCTTTATCTCGACTACACTTTATTTGTATTTTTAATACCACTATTGTCTTCTGTAACAAACAACCGCTTGTATAATGCTCACCGGCTATTATTCACTTGATCTAATTGACGTAATGACAATATCCCAACAAGAACTAATTTAATAAACACATAGGTATATCCCATATGGATCTTCGAGTTTATTCTGGTATGCTAAAGAACAAAAAGAACGTTGTCAAGAATTTACGGCGTGTCTAGTCATAATATTCCTTACGAGGATAATTAAAACGCAAATTATTTACAAACTATGATTTTTAACTAGATTTTACATTAAGTCATAGTATAATTCAATTTTAAAGAGTAGAAACACAACGATTTTAGCTAAAATATCACGTTTAGAAATGAATAAAAATTAATTTTAGATAATTAAAAGATGGATAATATGTGATCAATGGTAGATCTGTTTTTTCAATAAGCTTCTTTGTTAGGATCTTATTATAATATTGTCAGTATACTGTGACGATCGTTCGTATCAGCGACAAAATTTTGTATACTGTATATGTAAGGCTTACTAAACCGAGTAAGAACTGTGAGCGTAACGAAGGACTAGACCTTAATATTAAGAAAACTAAATTCATGGTTGTCAGCCGTACAAATATTGGATCCAGGGGCACTAATGGCAGGTAGCGAAGAGATCCAGGGAGTCGATAGATTCACTTACCTCGAAATACCCCTAACTCACAATGGGACTACGCTCAAGCCTGACCAGGGAAGCCCTGATACTGACGCAAGCCACAGAAAAGCGGATCAAAGCCTTGTCACCATGTCACCAACGTTGAGGTCCTACAGCGCATGACAAAAGAAAAAGAAGTGCTTAATTTAGTGACACAACGGAAGCTTGATTACCTTAATCACATAATGTGGAACAAAGAAAACTATGGAATTCTTCAACTCGTTATGCAGAGTAAAACAACGTCCGACAATGGTTTGGGATGACCTCCGTGGAGCTATTTCGAAGAGCATGATAGACCTTGATGATCGCCAACATCCGGTCCGGATAAGGCACTGAAGAAGACGAAGTGTAAGAAAGATAATCCCTTTTTAAGTTGGAACAGTCAAGGACGTTTTCTTTTTTTGTGCATGGATGATATAATTCCAGTATTTCAATCTTATGGTAAAGCGCGTCCTTGCCATACCTGTATTAATAGTTTGTGAAAGAGAGTTACAAATGTTTGACCACCACATTTTAATATTTCTGTGCGTAGGTTATGTGCCCCAGATGATTTCTTTCTGGCTAGAGACTGAATTTCTTTATTCATTTCTTTGAAAGTTGGTAAAGTTGGTAGCTCTGTTTCCTCCTGTTCTAGTGCTACATCATCTCTACCTTCGGCTCTACTTTCTCCATTAAGTAGCTTACTAAAGTGTTTCTGCCACCATTTTAGTACTTCTACTTAGATATTCAAAATAATTTCATTATGAGCTTTTACTAGGTTCGCTTATGGCTTAAAAACTTTTTTTTGTGTTAACTTGTTTGTAAAATTTTCTGAGTCAGTGTTCAATATTTACTTTTTCTCTTTCTTCGAACTTTTTATTGATTTGTTGCTTGTCTGTTTGTGCTTTTGTTTATCATCTCTTTTCTTTACTCGATATTCTTCAACATTGCTCCTAGTTCTTCTGTTGATCATTTTCAGACACGCGTTATTCATCTCTTTGGTAACTTGTTTGCATTCCTCATCAACCGTCCTGGGTACCTTACCGAGCCTTTCATGTGCGGTCTTTTGCGGCATGGTTTTGAAAAACTAGTTTGTATCAAATAATTATCAATTTATGGTTTTATAAAAACTAAAAAAAACACCGTGATTAGTATTATATAGTATCAAAATACGAGAGAGGCAGATCTGAAGTGTAAGGGTCGTACTGGTGTATACCTAAAAATAAAGGACAATATATAAGTTAGTTACTAATATATCTATCTCTCTATCTATTTAATTAGTAGAAAATAATAAGCTGATAGCCAAACTTCGGAACGAAGACGGCACTTGAAGAAGAAGAATAAGCTGACAAAACAATGGGTCCAATAGACAGGTGGGAAATTTGATAAAGTAGAGACTACTTTCTACCTCTTGAAATAAAGCTCTTTTTATATCCATCTTTATGTGTCTATTAGGTTGTTTTCATTCGTCTTGGACCGGCATATCTTTTTAAATCATCTGTCTAACTCATGTGTGGTCTTCCTATGTGTCGTATTGATTCCTAAGGTCCCTTGTTTGTTCCATCTATCGTCTTTCTGCCTGATGTTATGGCCTGCAAATTTGCACTTTATGTTTGTTTCTTTCATCTTCGTAACATTCCATATCTATTCCAGAGAATACTGATGAAATGAATTAAAAACTAATTACACTTCAATATAAAACTGTTCAATATAATACGCTGTTCAATATGTTTTGCAGTTCGATAACAAAAACACAATTTTATAGTTTAAAATACACTTTATTATTCAGTATAGTCTCACTAAACATCAATAAACTTGTTCCAATGAGATTAAAATCTATAAATTCCATCCCAAACGTGAAAATCTTGAAAGGCAAAATACTCTTCCATGGCTGTTATAACCTCAGCATTTGATGAAAAACGTTTGCCACGCATAAATTTTTTTAGGTATCGAAACAGATGAAAGTCGCTAGGGGTAAAATCTGATGAATACGTGGATGCTCCAACAATTCGAACTTTAATTTATGGATTTTGACACGGTGCTTTCCCCTGGGAAAAAAGGATATTTTTCTTCTGCAAACCATGTCTTTTTTCACGTTTTTCTTTAGCTGGTCTAGAAGCTTACAATAATATTCAGAATTTACCAGTTTGCAAGTAACCTTTTAAGAAAATTCCTTTCGCATTATAAAAAAACTGATGCTAACTCCCTCTTGGCTGATTTCTGATCACGAAACTTATTTTGGAGCGAAACAACCAGGTTCTCACCACTCTTTAGCTTTTTGTTTTGATTCAAGATCATGGTAATAATTAGTCCACCCATGTGATGAAGTCTCACAAAATCCACTTTATGCTTTAAAAATGCTGAATGTGTTTTTGTTTCCATGTTCCATTTGCACCCATTGTGAACACAGCGTTCTGAAATCCAATACTTCAATTAAAATATTGTTGACACTGCGTTATGAAATGCTTATTACTTCTACTAAATCTTTTAAGTAACTAGACAATTTTCCAATACGATATCCTTCATTTTCTCTACGATTACTATTGTTGTTGCTGTTTTTGGACGTCCTTGCGTGAATTGTCTTCCAAGCTTGTACGACCACGTTTAAATTTAGCAACCCATCTTTCTACTGTACTATTTGTAAAGGAAGAGTTCTTATACACTTTCAACATTCATTCATAAATTTCCTATGCTTTTAAACCTTCCAACAATAAAAATCTAATCACCGTGACACATCGATACTAAATGGCTTGGAAACAAAAAATAAATTGATACATTGAAATGAAACTTCAGATACGTTTATATGAAGAATGTACCAACATATCAAATAATTTAGTTTTCGCTAGTAGCAACGCCCTTTCTTAGTGAACCGCCAAACTTATTGAAAAGCCTGTTATTTATTTTAGTGCATTTTCAAAATTTCAGTGTTTTACGGCACAATAGAAAAATAAAAATAACAGAAATATTCTAATACTATTATTAGTTTATTAATATTGTAATGTTATTATTAACTAATTCATGTATTTTATGTTTCAGATCAAGTTTGCAGAACGGGATGCAGGAAAAGTAGTATGTGCTTTTTATTTACATTATAATAAAACATTTTTGGTTTTCTACCCAAATTTTCTAATACATCTGGTAATCATTTACTTGTTATAGATTCTCAATTATTCAAATACGTTCCCGGCACAACATACAAGTACAACTATGAAGGAAAAATCGACATTAGCTTATCGTCTGCCGAAGGACAAGTAGCAAGTACTGATGTAAAAGCTGTAGTATTATTAACACAATTAGGAGACTGTAACCAACTTCTCAGGCTTCAAAACGTTCAAGTTTTGACCGGAAATTCAAAGGTAACTATCTTCATATCAGTAGATAACGTAGTGCCAAAAAGTAGGAAAATAAAACTTACTGTTATGAATGTACATTATTTCCTGTTGTATTGTATTTTGGATTATAAAGAATAGGGGAAGATGGGGGGGAATATCGACTACTTAAGACAAAACTGTTTGCTATAGCTTTTACGAATTTGAAACTTATAATATGGCCATTTAGTTCACTCAGTTAACCAATTATTGCTTTAAAAAATGTTTGAAACAAAAAATTCATGTAATATCAATCAATCGGGTAATATCGACAATGGAGATGGGTAATATCGATCAAGGATCGGCAATATCGATCACAGATGGACAAGTTCAATGGTTAAGTTTACTTAGGTTTAAGTATAAAATCCATATTTAAGAATGACTTTATTCTGTTTCCGGCTTCTATATAAAATGTAGCTTCTCCATTTCTTAAATTTTAAAGTGTTTGTTTGTCTTTGTTTAGTGTATTTGTTATGTCCCAATTTACATTTATAACATTCTATTACTGCTGGATAGGCCACAACTGACGAAATGCCCCTGAGGATGATCTTGTGATCGAAAGTACTTGGGCAAGATTTGATTAACTACTGTGTTCGATATTTGCCTTGTGTACCATCAAAGTACTTTTAAATAAATTGAACATATTATTACTCACAGCAAAGTCTTTATATAATTTGACAGTAACTGTTTTTTGTAGTATATATCGTCAGGTGACAAGTAAAACTCACTAAGTACCATATTGAAAGAACAGAGATATTGGAGTTTTAAAGCACATTCTAATGTAAAAAATATATTTTTGAATCAATGTTGGAACAGAAGGGAATTATTTTGAGAAACAATTTAAGCTACCTTATCTTATAAAGATTTTATTAAAAATTTTTGTATTTTTGAAGTTTTTGAGAAAAATGTAATTAGTGAATTTTACCTAACGAAATATTGTCTAAAAACTCATACTGTAACAGAAGGTACACTCTACGAAGGAAGGAAGAAATGTTAACTCAATGTTTTAATAGGAGGTACTTATTTTGAGAAAAAGTTTAAGCTATCTAACACTACAGAGGTTTTTAAAAAAAATTGTGAATTTTTGACGTTCTTGAGAAAAATGTAATTAGTGAATTTTACCTGCCGAAACATTGTCTAAAAACTCATGCTATAATAGAAGGTACACTCAATAAAGGAAGGAAGGAATGTAAATAAGTTTTAAACAAAATTTCACTTATTAAAGTAATTATTACAACTTAAGAACGGTTACAACAATAAATACTGATTAAGTCAACTAACTGAACCAACATTATCCACAAAAAGTCTCCAAAATGACTTTTACCTGTCGGGATCTTATTAAAATTTGAAAATAATGAAATGTTTCAAATTGAAAGTCTGTGTTGAAACCATGTTTGTAGCTAGTGACTTTTTGCAGGCAAAGATCTTAAACCATTGTTTAAGTTTACTTGTCAACTGACGATATTTTTGTTGTGAAGTATCTAACCTGTATCGAGCGGGTTGTTTTAAAGGCATTATAAAATATTATTTGATATTGGTTCTGTTTGATTTTTATTTATTCTAATTATTTTTTTTTGTAGAAACATGGCCATATTCCAGACGTGGAAAAGGCTATTCAGCTTAATTTCCATGACGGACACATTGAAGACAGTATATGTGCCGAACCTACTGATACCCAGAACTCACTTAATCTTAAACGTGCCATTGCATCTCTTTTCCAAGTCAACTTAAGGAATGGATACGAAACTGACATTTTCGGTTTATGTCCTACTGAAGTCGCACAACATAAAGAAGGAGCTGATTTGGTTGTAGTAAAAGGCCGTAACTTAAACAAATGTGCCTACAGAGAACATCTTAGACAAGACTTTTTCGCAACCACTTTCAATCTTAACAGTGAAATCAAATCTAGTCCTATCCTTAACGGAGACTACAGTGCTAAACTGAGGATCAAAAACGGCGTATTGAATCAAGTAAATGTCGTTGAAAGCTATCTGTATGTTCCATTCTCCGTAGGTAAAAGCGGTGCCAAAGCTGAAATTAACAGCAAACTACATTTAGTAGGCACCTCCAAGGATAATCCAAAAGCTGCTCCCAGCGTGCCTAAATCTATTATTTTCGACAATCCCCATCCCGTTGTTGCTCCTAACAGTGGCGTCAACGTTATCTTAAACGCTGTTAAGGAAGTAGTAAAAACTATTGATATTGTCGTTGGAGAAAAAACCGCTAAAAAATTCGTTGATTTGATTAAAACCGTTAAAGCAGCTAAGAAAGACGATCTATTGGCCGTTTACAACCAGGTCAGGTCTGGTGTAGGTATTGGTGACAAAGTAGCTGCCAAAAAAATTTTCTTGGATGCTCTTTTACAAGCAGGAACTGGTGATGCAATAGAAGTAGCTATTACCTTATTAAGGAGCAACGAATTGAGCGATCAAGAAAAACAACTGGTCTATATTGGACTGTCATTAGTCAAACACGCAACTGAGAACTCCATAAAAACCGCTAGTGTAAGTTTATTATTTTTTACATATTTAAAATTTATGTCTATTGAAAAATCGCTTTATACTTCTGTCAAAAACTGATCTAAAACAGTGCTATTACATAAGTATATTCGTTACAAAATTGATGTTGTGGATAAAACTATTTTGTAATTAACTTTATTTTTTAGCAATTACTTGCAGTGCCAAATCTTCCCGATCAAGCATACCTGGGTATTGGAAACTTAGTAGGACGATATTGCCAACAACATCCATGTGAGAAAGTTGATGCTCTCAATCAAATAACTCAAAGGCTTATTCAAAAATTGGGTAACGGAAATCCAAAAGACAAGAAAACCGAAAACGAAATTATTCTTGTGTTGAAAACTCTTGGAAATTTCGGACATTTGAACGACAACGTTGCAGCCAAAATTGTTTCCATTGCCGAAAACAGACAAGGTGCCGAAAGATTAAGAGCCTTCGCATTGGAAGCCTATCTTTCAGATCCTTGCAAGGATAAGGTTAGAAACAGTGCCATTCAAATTTTGCAAAACATTCAAAATGACTCTGAACTCAGAATTAAGGCATATCTTGTTTTGGCTAAAATGTCCCAACGCTAAGGTTGGTAACGTAGTAAGGCTCTATTGGAAAAGGAACAAAGCTATCAAGGTAATTTATATATATTATTATGTTTTAAATAATTACTGATCAATTATAATATAATGGTTTGTCAAATCATTCAGAATAGAACCACACTTTTATGGGATTTAGATTCAGTTTTCAAAGTAAAATATTTCACTTTAGTTAAATTCTTAGTTTTTATTGTTAAAGATTTAGTTGTTTTATAGACCAGCGTGATATTTTTTCTTATTCTTATGATTCTTATCGGTACACAAAGAATGGGGGTTCAAATTAGGGCGTCCTTAGATTTCTCACCCCTAACCCAGCCAAAATGTTTGGCGTAGCAAACAAAATAATCTATATACCTATCCTGGTACCTTCCTTGCTCCTGGTACCAATATTTTTGTACGGTATCTATCGCAGGTCATTATTTTTGTATTACGTACCTAAGTTATAAGTGCCGTACAAAAACAACCCGTTTTTCAACTCTCCTCTGCCTTAAGTATTTATCGATTCCTTCTCTTCAACTTAATCTCGGTCTAGGTTGCTTTCTTCTTCCATGTGGTGTCCAGTTCAATACTTTCTTTGGTATTCTGTGTTCATCTATTCTTTGAACGTGTCCATACTATCTTAGTTGATTTATTCTGATGTACTCTGTTATATTGTCCTTAACACAAATAATTTCTCACATTTTTTCGTTTCTACCTCTGTCGAATCTTGATTTTCCTGCTCCTCTTCTCCAGAAGTCCATTTCTGTTGCTTCTAATGGTTTTACGTATTTTTCTTTCAGTGGCCGTACCTCACTTCCATATGTAACAATGCTTTTTATAATGCTGTTAGAGATTTTGTGTTTCTTTTCTTTGGAGATTGTTTTATCCCACAGTATACTGATTATTTTCCTAATGACACGTCTTCCCTGGTTATTTTTATGTTTAATTTCTTCGTCTAATTTGACAAGAACTGTTCTTTATCTTTTAATAAAGCGTTCTCGTTTACTGCATAGATGTCAAGAATGGTGACTTTACTACTATACAGGGTCAGGTTAAGTTTTATGATGGATGATAAGGGATGTTAAAGCTATGCAATACTTTATATAACTTGTGTCTATTAATTGAATCGTAGGTCTGTTTGAAATCTGTGAATAGATTGTGGATGACAATGTCGTATTTGCACGATTTGATTAGAATTTACTTCACCGTGAATATCTGATCAGTTGTTGATCAGTTGTTGTTGATCAGTCAATATCAGTTGTATTGTATTGTCATTGTGTTCAGTTAGTTGTTGTAGTCGTTTATTTAGTATATAGTACTTGGTAATACTGATTTTTATATTTGGTCTTTGTTTGTATTTTATATTTTTGTCATTAGCTAAAATGTGTTAAATTATAAATTATTTACATTTTTTATACTTCATTTCAGTTGGAGGATTTATTGCTTCACACATCCGCAACTTAAAGGCATCTGCTAACCCAGACAAACAAGTAGCCAAACAATTCTTGGGCTTCAACGTTCCTAAGAAATTCCCCATTGATCCTAGGAAATGGTCGTACAACGGTGAACTTTCCTACGCTGTTGACACACTTGGTGCAGCCGCCTCAAGCGAAGCTAACGTCATCTACTCTCCAAATGCTTTCTTACCGAGATCAACCAATCTAAACGTAACAGCTGAACTTTTCGGACACTCTTTCAACTTTTTAGAGCTTAGCCTCAGACAACAAAATTTAGACCGTCTTGTTGAACACTACTTTGGACCAAAAGGTGTTATTAATACAGCATCTCTCAGTGAATTGTGGAAAGATAAAAACCAGCAAGGTAACAAATTATGGAGGGAATTTAACGAAAAACTAAAATCAAGCTTAAGAGCGAGACGTGATGTATCCAGAAAAGAAATTGACAATATTGGTAAACTTGTCCAATTGAAAGAAAATCCATTAGACAAAGATTTGGATATTGACCTCAGTCTTAAAACTTTTGGTTCAGAAATCTTCCACCAAAACTTAAATGCTTATCAAGATGGTCTTTCACCTGAAGTTATCATTGATAAACTCATAAGCCGTTTCAACGAAGGCTTGGACAAACTAAAGAACTTTGATGTAAGTAATATTGTCTTTTTAGTACTATATTTTCAGTGTTATATTAACATGTGTTTTATACACTGTATGTTAACATATCTTTTTTTGTAAAGAGTGTAATTCCATATATCAATAAATAAATAAATATTACCTCTTTATTTTAGGAAACTGTTCGTGCTAATATTCAATTCCTGGACGCTGAATTAGACTACCCCACATCTCTTGGATTCCCTCTGCGTCTAGCAGTGGAAGGAACTTCAAACACTCAAGTTAAAGCTGAAGGAAGTGTTGATGTTAGAGCATTATTAAGTAACAAAGATAACAACCTACATATTAAACTTGTTCCTAGTGCTAGCATTGAAGTCAGCGGAAGACTCACTCTAGACGCCCTTGTGGTCGAAAATGGTCTTAAAGTAGTATCTAACTTATATACTGCCACCGGAGGAGATGTTAGGATTAACTTCTATAATGGCGGAAAGGGAGTTGATGTTAAATTTGGTTTACCAGTACAAATCCAAAAACTTGTAGCAGCTAATCACCAAATTATATTTGAAAGTAGAGAACATGCCGGACAGGTTTCTATCACTCCTCTTAAATTTGCTCAAGCTAAAGATTTCTCAATCTGCTTTGATCAATTAAGCGAATTCATTGGGCTAGCATTCTGCGCTGAAGTTAACGGTCCTAATTTAGCTGGCAAACAAGTACCAGTCTTGCCTTTCCCATTTTCAGGAGACGCTAAAGTTTCAGTCAGCATTGAAAACGAGGACTTGAAAGAATACCACTTTAAAAATCTTGTAAATAAGGACTACACTTCTGGTGAAGTTTTACTTGAAACCATCGGCAAAAATGGACAAAAGAAACTTAGCGTTCAAGTTCAAAGTGAAATCTATCCTCAGAAATTCATTAAAGCTGTACTCTCTTCGCCTGTTAAGTCAGCCTTTGCTGAAGGAAGAATTACAAATACAAACCAAGAGAAATCGTTGTTGCTAAAAGCTGGCCAAGACAACGTTGAAACTTACCTTAAGTTTGGCGTTGCCATTTCAGGTTCCCAAGATAAAGCAGTTTATAGTCCAATTCTTGAATACAAAACTCCAGACGGTAACCAACAATTACCAGTTCAAGTTGAAGGAAGAATTATTGCTGAACAAAACGGACAGAACAGGAAATATATATTTGATAACGTAAGAGTTCACTTACCCAACCAAAAAGTCTTGGGAATCAATGGAAACCTTGGAAATGAAGGTGAAGATCTCTTCAGCGACCTAACCGTCTCTGAAGGACAACAATCAGCTTCTTTGACAGGTAAGATATATTCAATATTTATCTTTACAAATAATCTACTTTATTTATATTCTGTATTTTATAAGTTATTGAAAGCTTTTTAAATTTATTTTTATATACCGGCACCATAAAAGTCTGGCAAAAGTATACTGTTTTGATTTTTCACTCTTCAAATGATTTATTTGCTTTTTTTGTGCCAATCCTGACAGTTTTATATAAGTCTTTGTTGAATTATTAAAGATTAATATTATTACAAAAATTAATAATAAACCCACAAGGCTTTCAGGTTGAACCGCGTCGATTTTCACTGCTCCAAGCTTTCGATACAGTGGCGGCTTTTCTTTATGTGCTGCTGAGCTGCAGAACTACCAAACAACCATAGCAAATCTTAATTATTAAAGAATAATTAATATAGTTTTATTTCAAATCTGCCATATTATCATATTAAACATAAACTGTTAATAATAATTCACCAACAACGATGATTAATATTATTTTTTTTACGTATTTACTCCTCTAGTGAAACCGTATAATTTTTTTACGTATTTGGTGCTCCAGTGAAGCAATCTTTTTACGTATTTGCTGCTCCAGTGAAGCCGCGTCGATATCAACCGAAACACTGGCAGCGGTTAAAATGCATTTATTAGGCAAACGGCGATCTTAGCCGATGTGCTTCGGCAATCGGCTGATTAACGGCCTCGGAAATGTGTTTGCGAGCTGCAATTCACGACAGTTATTCGTGACCGTTGCATCTGTGCCAGAGAACTACGAACGCAGAGAAGCGACACTCCTTTCATCTTGCGTGGGCAAGCCGCCAACGAGTGAAAATGACAGGAAAGCACCTTATTTTTTAATAGTCAGTGGGCATATTACACAATATAAATTCTTAAATAAAATTTAGCATTTATGTTGACTTTCAATAAATATGAAATATTGCACATGAAATATATTTGTATTTATAAATAATACTTCATTACTTACAACTATAAGAGTATTAGTATATTCGAAGTGTATTGTAAATAATGAAGTATTTAACTTTTGTCAATATCTCATCTTAATAAATTTACAGTTTTCTCCTGATTAAGTCACAAAATTGTCACTAAATATTGAGATATACAATAAATAAAGTTTTAATATTTTTTATTTGTAATTCCCATTTAAATATTTATTCCCTAAATATGTTGTGTACTCCGATCCATATATTTGATCTTTGTTATTTATATGTAACGAATTAAACATTGACAGACAACTTTTGTATATAGCAAAAAGTAGATGAGCATTTAGTTTTTTCATAATTTAATGTAAGTTTGTTTGGTGAAAAAGACAGCAAATATTTGAAGTTATGTTAATGTAAGTTTGTTTATTTGCAATCATGTTTTTATTTTGAAGTCTTGTTCTGTTATAATTTTAAGATTTTCCCAATTTTCGATCTAATTATGTCTCCAACAATTTTTAGTTTGAGCATTTTAGGAATTTCTTTGTTTCGTTTAAATCAAATATTCTCGTGTATAAAACCCTCTATATATTTTTATTTCCTAAAAATACTATATTCGTATTGTTGTCTGCGAGCGCTTTCACACCAGTAGGCCAACATCTGTGTTGATTTTTTGACCTGAGCCTTCGGAGACAATAAATTTAATGTGTGTTCGTAATTCTCTGGTTTTTATTAATAATTAATAAATAATAAATAATTGACTGTATAAAATTCTGTGGGGCTTTTGAGCTCGCCTTACGAGGACACGATGAATCTGAAACATCAGATAACCCTGGAATTTTTCGTGGTTTAGTGAATTTTTCTGCTGAACTTGATAAAACACTTAGTGAACACCTTACAAATGCGACAATTTTCAAAGGTACCTCAAAAACAATACAAAATGATATTTTGGATTGCATGCTAGAAGTATACGCTGAGGAGATTTTAAACGAAATCAATGAAGCCCCATTTTTAGCAGTGATAGCTGATGAGACAACGGATGTTTCTATGAAATTTCAAATGGTCATTGTTTTTCGTTATGTAAAAAACGGTGCTCCAGTTGAAAGGTTTTGGACTTTTTTGCTTCCAGAAAAACATGATGCTGAAACCTTAGCTAACACAATTTTGAATGTTTTAGACCCAATATTAAAGAATAACAAAAATAAGCTCATTGCACAAAGTTATGACGGAGCAGCTGTTATGAGTGGGATACATGGCGGAGTGCAAACAATAATTAAGAGAAAATATGAAACTGCTCATTTTGTGCACTGTTACGCCCATCAATTGAATCTAAAAGGTGCAGTGCCTTTACTAAAATTTATAATTTCTAATAATTTAGAGGACACATTAACAGAAACCAAAAAGTTGATACAAATTCTGGTGACTACGCCAATGATCACAGCAGAAGCTGAACGTAGTTTTTCAACTTTAAAACGGATCAAAACATTTTTAAGAAATTCAATGTGCGAAGACAGATTAACAGCCCTTTCCACACTCTCGATAGAAAAAAAGTTCATCGCTTCAATACCGAACTTTAACGATAAAGTAATCGAAAAGTTTGCGACAAAAAAGGACCGGCGTATTAATTTCCAATTTAGAAAAATGCAATAAATGTAATTTAATCAGATTTTTATAGCATGTCGTTATTAGTTACTATTAATTAGTATTAAAGCTAATTTTATTGTTTTTGTTTTCGTATGTTATTCTATTTCTATTATTTTATATTGACCGTGGTTCATGCAGCACACCCTATAGCAGATGTCACGAGCCGCCACTGTTTCGATATCCTTTCTTATGTCTTCTTCAGAGCTTCCGGAGTGTCAGTCTACAGAGACTACACTGTTCACTCCTCACTGTACTACTGAGTGGTGCCCAGTGTATTACGATTTCTATTCTCTTAAAATTCTCTCCTGCGAGAATAGGAAATTGTTGACCCTTAAACATCTTCCAAGGCGATCATGACAGAGGAGGAAACTCACAAGATTGCACAAAACCTTGCAAAGTAGCGACTTGGAATGTTAGAAGTCTACATCAAGCTGGAAAAGCACATAATGTCGTTAAAGAAATGGAAAGGTTGAATATAGATATTTTAGGAATCAGCGATATCCAATGGCCCGACTCAGGGAAGATAAAAATCAACAATAAAACAATATATTATTCAGTAAGTCAAGACGGTTCACACATATATGGTGTCGTAATAATATTAAACAAAAACATTGATGAAGTTGTAATAAATTTCACTCCATACTCCAACAGAAATATACTCTTACAACTAAACCAGAACAAACCCAAAATAAACATCCTACAAGTTTATGCTTCAATTGCGGACAAACCAGAGAGCGATATTGAAACTTTTTACGAAGACGTAGACAACATTTTAAAATCCATTAAAATGCAAAATGTAACAATTATAATGGGAGGCTTTAACGCAAAGGTTGGGGAAGAAAAATTAGAAAAATGTACAGGAGGATATAGTCTGGGCAACAGAAACGAAAGAGGTGACAGGCATATCGAGTTTTGCCAAAACAATAATTTTGTTATAGCTAATACATTGTTCAGAATGCCAAAGAGAAGACTATGTACCAGGAACTCACCAGCAGATAAATAAGGGAGAATGGTAAGAAGCCAAAGTAGAAGGGGATATGGTTTTAAAGATATTAAAAGAGGAATTTAAAAAGGCATTAAAAAAAGCAAAAATGGTTTAAAGCAGTAGATCCAGACCAAATCCCTATAGAAATCTTAAAATGCATAAATGATGAAACCTTAGACATTATAGTAGACTTATTTAACTGAGTATACAAAACAGGACACATACCGAAACAATACTCACTCTCCATTTTTTGTGCTATTCCTAAAAATACAAACGCTAAATATTGCAGTGAATACAGAACAATATTACTAATAAGTCACATTCTCAAATTATTCTTGGAATTAAAACATGGTCGTATAAATAAAAAACTGGAAGAAGGAATAGATGATAGTCAGTTTGGATTCAGAAAAGGACTAGGAACCAAGAAGCCATATTTGCTTTTAATGTGTTAGCTCAAAGATGCATGGATATAAATGTTGATGTGCATGTTTGTTACGTTGATTTTGACAAAGCATTTGACAAAGTAAGACATGAAAAATTAGTCCAAATTCTAAAAACAAAAACATAGACCATAGGGACTTACGAATAATAACAAACTTTTACTGGAATCAAAGAGCACTAATCGTAATAGATAACGAACCCAGTCCAGAAATTGAAATCAGGAGAGGAGTTAAGGCAGGGATGTATTATATGCCCATTACTATTTAATGTATATAGTGAAGCCATTTTTGAAGAAGCATCACTATCTCAAAGTGAAGGAATAATAATTAACGGAAGATCTATAACCACATAAAATATGCAGATGACACCGTGATTATGGCAAGCTCTGCTAAACAACTCCAATTACTGCTAAACAAAACAAACAGTTTCTGTGAAAAATATGGACTAACAATGAATATAAAAAAAGACCAAATACATGATAATAAGAAAGAAAACAAATATACCAACAAACATACATTTGAGAAATGTACCGATAGAAACGGTTGATAAATACAAATACCTAGGAACCTTGATTTGAGACAATAATGATCAAACAAACGAACTAAGAGCCAGGATAGAAATAGCAAGAAATGCGTTTGTAAAAATGATAACAATTCTCTGCAACAAAGATCTTAGATAAGAACTGAGAGTAAGAGCACTGAGATGCTACGTGTTTTCGATACTGCAATATGGACTTGAAAGCTGGACATTGAAGCAAGAACACATAAATAAGTTACAGTCCTTTGAAATGTGGTAATATAGGAGAATGCTTAGAGAAATGGGCAAAGAATGCGAAATAATAAACGCAATAAAAATAGGAAACTTACAATATCTAAGACACGTAGTGAGGGGACAGCGATATGAACTGCTAAGGCTGATAATACAGGGAAAGATAAGAGGATGAAGGAGAATAGGAAGAAGGAGAGTGTCATGGTTGAAGAATTTAAGGGACTGGTTTAAATGCAGTTCTATAGAACTCTTCAGAGCAGCAGTAGATAGAGTAAAGAGAGTAGTAAAGAAAAGGTGATCACTTTTTCTTGATTTATATTTTACTAATTTGTTAACGAGTCAGCTGGGTCCATAACCTTTTCAATATGTTGTTCTAAATATTAAAAAAATAATCCATATAGTTATTTTGTCATTTATAAACTAAATACTGAAAAAAAGACTTCTTAGAAATATCTTCAATTTGCATAGAAGACAATTTTGGCCCACTATGCATTTTAGCAGTTTATTGTTGGTCAAATTATCAACCTAACAAGAATGGATTACTTTTGAGATCATTAGGACCCAGGTTCTTAGTGGATGGCGGTTACAATTCAAAATACAAGATTTGGGGCTCAAGATTATCCCCTCTCCCCCAGGAAGAGGTAGGGTCCTATACAATGTGGTGAAAGTAATGCAACTAAAATATCTCTAAACCTACAAGCCAGCTTATTGCCCACCATATCGAAATATACTGCCAATATTTTTATACAATCACAAACACAGGGTCATTACAAGAAGAGATTAAACGTAGATCTGATCTAGCAAAAGTTGCCACAGCAAAAATGACCAAAATATAGAAGGACTGTCAAATTTCAAGAGCGATAAAGATGAGGTTGATCAACTGCTTAATATTCCCAATACTGACCTACGGATGTGAATCTTGGACTCTGAGACAATCGGAGAGAAGAAAGATAGACGTCACTGAAATGTTCTGTTGGAGACGAATGTTACGAATTCCTTGGACCGGCAGAACAAATAATTCAATTTTAAGAGAGCTAAAAGTTAGCCAATGACTCTCTAGTAAAGTCCATCTCCAACAATTAAAATATTTTGGGCATGTTATGAGAGCAAACACAGTAAACATGGAAAGACTCATAATACGAGGAAAGGTAGAAGGTCGAAGATCACGAGGAAGATCCCCAACAAGATGGATAGATCAAATTACAGGAATATGCCAAAGACCTATGCATGAATTAAAAGAAATGACCAGAGACAGAGATCTCTGGAGACGGACAATACATGACATAACGTCGACCACTACACTCCCCCTGGGGGGTCAGGATTCTTCTTCTTCTTCAGGTGCCATCTCCGCTACGGAGGTTGGCAATCATCATAGCTATCTTAATTTTTGAGGCAGTAGCTCTAAATAGTTGTTTTGAGCTGCATCCAAACCATTCTCTCAGGTTCTTCAGCCATGAAATTCGTCTTCTTCTGATGCTTCTTCTGCCATCTATTTTTCCTTGCATTATGAGTCGCAGGATGCCATACTTATCGCCCCGCATCACATGTCCGAGATACTGTAGCTTTCTTTCTTTAATTGTAAGTTCAATTTCCTTCTCTTTGCCTATTCTTCTCAGTATTTCATTGTTTGTAACTCTATCTACCCAGGAAACCCTCATAATTCTTCTATAGGTCCACATTTCAAAGGAGTTAAGTCGTCTCATGGTATCTAGATTTAACGTCCATGATTCCACTCCATAATATAGTACACTGTATACGTAACATTTTGTTAGGCGTACTTTAAGAGCTAATGTTAGATCTTTGCCACATACGACCTTTTTCATTTTTATAAAATTAGAACGTGCTTTTTCGATTCTGACTTTGATTTCTGCGGTCAGGATTGAAGAGATTTTTATACAATATTTATATTTTTCTGTTTTTATCACATGAAATTTTTGATATTAATACTTTTTTGCTGTATAATTTTGGGGTTCTATTAATTTTCTTTAATGTATTTTATCTCGTTTTAGGTCGTTTACACATTGACAATACTCAACTGAACGTAAATGCCGAAGTGAAGAATAGCATAAACCCAGGTTTTAACTTTAAACTTCAAGGAGCACTGAAGCGATCAAGTGACCAATCCCAACTTGGCAGCAACTGGCAATTAATTCACGGTCAAGATCTTGCTTCTAAGACAAATATTATTACCGTATCAACTGGTGTTACCCGAAGATATAAAGGACCAAATGATTTCCATTTTGCATTTATGAATAAGGTCACTTATCCATTGATCGGATTGGTTGTCAATATCGAAGCAAGGGAGAAACCAAAGAGTCTTGATTATGATTTCGACTTCCAATATAACGACATTAAATTTGGTTCCCAGTTGGACTTTAATGTCGATAAAAAATCAAGAGGAGACTTTGAAGTTGCATTTGGAATTTATGGTCTGGAAAACAAAGTTGATTTTAAATCAAGTAGAGAACTTGAAGGAGCCGATAAAAGCAAAATTAATAACGAATTAGACATAAATGGAATGAAACTACAAGTTAGAGGACTTATTACACACAATATCAAACCATCTAGTGTTGACATCGGCGCTGATTTAACTGTTGTCCTACCCACCCACCCAACCCCATTCAAAGTAGACAGTGGCTTACAATACAATCCAACTGACTTTGCTGCTCACAACAAAATTCTCAGCGGAAATGTAGTGGTTGTAGACGCCTTTTTGAATGCTAACAAAAACGGTAATGCTAACGGTAGCGTTAAAGTAAACATTAAAAACGTTTTAGTAGTTAATGGACAGCTTAAATCAGTCAAAGGTGTTGGTAATGGTCACATCAAAATCGACGCACAATCGATTAAAAAAGTAGTCAAAGCTGACAGCAACTTTGAGATACAGCCACCAACATTATACAAAGTTGTAGTAACATTATATCCAAGTTTCGATAAAGACCCCAACCAAAAAATAATTTTGTCCACAAACAGCAAATTGTCTCCAACAAGTATCGATACCAAAAACAGTGTCAATCTTTTGGGAAAAGTATTGGAAGTCAATTTGAACGCTGCAAAATCTGGTGACGCTGAAAACAAAAAATATAACGGAGAAGTCGAAGTCATTCTTCCAAATGATCAATACTTGCAAGGAAAAGTTAATGGAGCCTACAACAAGAGGAATGATATTCTTAACGGACAAGGTCAAGCTAGTGTAGAATACAGGAAGAACAAAAACACTCCCGGCCGTAAACTCAGTTTGTCTGGTAAATATAATAATGTAAACGTCAAGGAAGGAGTCTATGACGTTAGCTACAACTTGGCTGCTGATGATGCTAGCGGAAGAAATGTCAACGCCGATTTGAATGTCAAAGTTCTTAAAGAAGGTGAAAGGAGAGTACTAGATACCTCAGTAAGTGATATTTTTTATTATTTAATATAGCCCGCTAAGATTTTCCAGGTTTTATTCCAGCGTATTTAAGCAGTTCCACTGTTATACCATCTATTCCATCTGCTTTACCGCTTTTCATTTTTTTAATTGAAGCGTGCATTTCCATAACGTAGTAAGTGGCAAATTATAAATTTTTCAGGAGGAGTAAAAAACAGTTTTTTATCGAACATGTTTATTTCTTATAATGTAACATACTGAAAAAAGGTTAGTTTAAAGGTATTATATAATACAAACATACCGCAAAGGAACAATAAACAAAGCTTACTTAAAAAAAATTCAAAAATCTGTCTAAAGTCAAAACGTTGTAAGTGCCATCAGGTTTGCAAGTCAAAACATTTTAAGTGCCAGATTTTAAGTCTATGATTTTAAAGTCTTCTAATGTAACTCCAGATTTGAGTACATTGGTCTCACTCCATCCAGCGAGCTCACTATGTCCTTTAGCCACCATCACCGTACCAAATTTCTCTCTTGTAAGACGAAGCTGCGTAGCTGTTAAAATTCCTAACTTCTTTGTGTTCAGTTTATCACAGGCAACGGTTTTGAAATCATAAAAGTCCTTAACCACCATGCACGAGAATGGATTTTTCTGGGCCGCACTAGTAATGATGTTAACAACATTCATCAATGTATAAGCCTTACACACTTTTTTACGTTTTTCTATGATTGCGAAATCTCTGTCGCAATTAAGGAAAGTGTTGTCCTTTTACAGGAAATTTATGAATAATTTCCTCAAAAACGTTATTTGCTAGTATGGTCAAATACATGGCGATCATGAACTGATTTTTATTTTGACCGCCACAATTATCCGACCACAAATAAGCTTTTTCTTTCCGTGATTGCCAATTTCCTTAGTAAGGTACGTATATAAACAGGAGCTAATTTCCAAGGCACCCCTTCCCCCAAAGTCCTCGGTCCATAAACACATGAATCCCTTTCCTATGATGGAATCGTGAATTCCTAAGTTACACACTGCAAGCTGTTGTGAATAGTACATTTTGGAGTGAGTTAATTGGGGAATGTACATTTGATGCTGCATATCAAAAGAAAGAACATAGCAATTACTTGTACATGCATTTTTGGTCTCAGTTGACATTGCTTTTGTAGTAGCCTCTGCTCTCCGATGGTGAAGCTCCTGTTCTGTTACACCAGCTTTATCTCCTGATTTTATTTGAATAGCCAAACTATCACATGTGGAGCTTGTATCTACTTTAGGCCTTGCAGAAGATAAATTAAATTTTGATATAAAAATTTCATTATACCATTGTCTAGTCATGGTGGTTTGTTAGGCGGCTGATAATCCGCACAATATTTCTCTAAAAATGCACGGTACATTCTACTTACGTATAAATCCGGTGACAAGAAGAGCTTATCCGGGGTTTTCGACCTTGCGTAGTGGCTCTCAATTTTTGGAAAAACTTTCGATATGCTCTATAATCTTGTTAGTCCAGACAGTCTTAAAAATATTTTGTCGAGCCCCTCCTCGTTTTTCTGACATATCCATTTTACCATCAAGAATTTTTTCTCCCAAAAGTTGCACTCTTCTTGGAGTTACGGCAAACGTACTACACAATGTTTTGAGGCAAACCCTTATTGTAACCTTATTGTAACCCTTATTGTAATAAACCTTTGTAGGTAACTTTGCTGCTTACTATAATCAGCCATTTCATAGAAATGATTGTACAACTCAACAAGGTATTCCAGTTTATGGATCTACATGCTAGTGGACACTTGCATTTTACATAAAACAATTTTGGATTATTTAGATAGATTTAAACAAAAAAAATATTTATGTTTTAACGTCTATTTAGATAGGTATCTCTTTAAACCATACTTACATCAGCTGGTGGCATTTTCTTTGTAACGGTCTTTTTATTGACTAGAGAAACATATTCTTCGCCAGAGTTTCTCATTTTCTTGGTTTTATTTTTTTTTCCAACTATCAACAACTCTTCTTTTCTTTTTGGACCGTTTTTCTGTAGTTTCATCCATATTCGTTCCAAATACTTATGTTTAAACCCAACCCAACACGTCCAAACAAAAATCTTTATCCCCACTTTTCACACCGTCGCTAGCCATATCGACATGAAATAAAGTTTAGGCGATGGAACATGGCACTTGCAACTCATTTAACTTAAAAAAACCAAATGAGGCATATTAGCACTTACGTTATGGAAATGCACGCTTCAATTGTCGATTTTACTTCTTCCGGAAGGACTTTTGGTACATCTTCTTGCTTACTGATCATTTCTTCAAGTGTGTCAGGGGCTTTGTAGAGTTCGCTGTAGAATTTAGTCACGAGTTGTATTATTTTATTTCTGTCTGTAATTATGGTGTTCTCGTTTATTAGAGCAACGATTTCTTCTTCTTATTCACGTGCCATCTACTCTAAGAAGGTTGGCAACCATCATGGCAATTCGCACTTTCGACGCCGCTGCTCTGAAGAGGTCAGCAAAAGTGCAGTTAAACCAAGCTCTCAAATTATTCAACCAAGAGATGCGTCTTCTTCGCGACTCCTTCTACCTGTATTCTTCCTTGTATTATTAATTGCAACAAGTTATAACGCTCGCCCCTCATAACATGTCCCAGATATTGCGGTTTTCTGACTTTAACTGTATTTAAGACCTCTTTATCTTTACCCATTCTTCTCAACACCTCGACATTCGTGACTCTATCCACCCAACTTATTCTTAATATCCTTCTATAGGCCCATAACTCGAAAGCTTCCAATCTGTCAGAAACATCTTTCTTTAAAGTCCAAGCCTCCAGCCCATAAAATAATATGGAGAACACGTAGCATCTCAGAAGTCTTATCTTTAAAGAAATTGAAATGTCCCTGCTGCAGAGTACTTTTTTCAGTTTGTTGAAAGATTTCCCAATGATTAATGCTTTTCTTGTTTTCTTATAGTTTTTACTGTTGTCAATTTCATTTTCCACCAGTCTTTCATAGTACTTTCTTATGTCTTCCTTAATATTTTTCTTTATTGTCGTACAAAGTTCAGTGTTCAGTGTATTGTATTCTCTGTATGTTCCTACTTACTTTCATTTCCCTTCTTTGTTTTAGCATTATTTTAGTTTTATCTATAATAAGTTTATACCTATTGCAATAGAAGTTTTCACTTCAATGCAAAAGTTGTTTATTAAGTTGTTTTTTTTTTTCAGACCAAAATCTACGGATCTATATTAAAACAAGCGCTCAAATCAGGATTAGTCTTCAAATACACAGTCGATAATGGTGAATTCGAAATTACTTCATCATACGGCCCTGAAGTTAATGGTAAACTTGGCGGCAAATACGATGTTAGAGATGAAGGCAAACCTGTTTCTGGGGAACTTGATATCGAACTTTTGTTGCCCAGCCAAAACTTGAAAACTTTGAAATCCAAATTGTCTGGATCTGTCCTCCTACCAACTGACAAAGCTAGTGAAATTACATTAAGCGGAGCTGCTAGTATCTACGCTGACAACCGAGTAAGTAGTTTATTATAATTTTAATAAAATGGAGATACTGAAGTTGATGAAAGGTCATGGTAAATTTTACTAAGTATTGTTTCTAAAATTTGAAGATTTACTGTGTAAAACATTTTAAAAATCTTTATTATCCTTTAATCATCATACCATTCCGCATTTCTTTGCCTTTTGGCTTTCCAACAGTTTCCTCTGCAGATTCCTTTATTATTGTTTTTAATTGTCCCCATTCTTCCTCTGCAGTATCTTCCTCTCTGATTCCGTTAAGTTTTATTTTAAGAGTATTTGGAGAGATTAAATACTAATGTTTTAAAATAAGCCCAAAATACTTATGGGGAAATGATAAAACAAGGTTTGAACTTGAATTTGTGTCCTTGTTGAATTCTACTTGGCTTTGTGAGCCTTGAATATCATTTTGCGTTTTTTTCGGTTTTAAAGTTTACAGAAAATTGCAAAAGACCTATTTTTTATAATGATCTAAATATTTAAAAAGAAAATTTAAACAATTATAACAAAAAAAATTGTTACATTTATTGGTTGACATCTTTCTTCACTATTTTATTTTTTTTAGTCTTGTTTAGAATACTTATTATACTTTTAGTTCATTTTTGTAAAAGAGTTATTTTTTACAGGTATCCCAAGCCCCATTAGTCGATTTTAGCACAGATGGTCAAGTTAGAGCAAGTGATAAAGATGGAGACCTTAAAGTAAGTACTAGTACTAATGACAATTTGTTTGTTTTTGTCTGGAAATCCTTTACTTTATACCAATTGTATTGCAATTAATTAACTTGCACCTAGCATCTCAATACTCTAGTTCTAATTTCAATGTTGAGTTTTTCATTGCATAATATTGCTTTCATCTTATTAAAAGCACTTCTAGCTTACCTCAGTACAACGTACTTCTATCCCATTCTTCATTTAGTTCGCAACATAAGTACTGATATCTGTGCACCCTGCCTTAAGTTTTCCTTCAGCATAAACACTGTCCTCCTTAATCTTGTTCTTGCTTACCACCACGATTTTTGTTTTATTTGTATTCAGTGCCATTCCATACCTTTCGCAGTATTGGGTAATGTGATCAACCAAGATCTGTAGTCCCTCTACAGAAGGACTGTAGATTGTTCAGAAGTGCCTCGTTAATAAATATGCCTTCATTTACATCTTCTAATGCCTCTTTAAACAATTCTTCTGAATACACATTTAAAAGTAAAGGGAAAAGCACACATCCTTGTCTTACTCCACGATTTATAGGTATTTCTTTCGATTTTTGTTATTCTGTCTGCTCAGAGATTGTGTTTACGATCAAACGCATAAAATTACAATATCTGGGACACGTTATGAAAAATCAGCACCGTTACTCCCTACTGCAGTCTATATTGCAAGGTAAAGTCAAAGGTAAGCGAGGATCCGGTAGAAGGAGAATATCATGGCTGCGGAATTTAAGAAACATGGTTTAAGAAAACCTCAACGGAGCTGTGTCGAGCCGCAGCGAGCAAGGTTATGATTGCCAATATGATTTCCAACATCCAAAACGGATAGGAATCAGAAGAAGAAGAAGTCTGCTCACGTCTTCGTCATCTAATTCCTTGTTCTTTGGTATTTTTGCCCTTCTTCGGTATTAATTTTTTTATGGGAGGGTCAAATATAATACAGACGCGTATGTAATAAAGAAGTATATACAGTGATGAGTGCTTTACCATCCGGTTTTTTAACGTAAGAGATAGAAAACACAGTTACCTTGTGAAATAAAAAGAGATAAAACTCGTAGAGGTGGGAAATAATCGATAGAAACCTATAATTTACATTACATTGCATTACCACCATCGACAGTCTCACACCTTTAGACGTTAGACGTGGCTATTTGACTTCAGTCATAATTATACGGATAACCTCAAAAATATTTTATTTTAATAATTTCTGATGTTAGAATAAATACTTGAATAAATTAAGATATATTATAGTAAAAAACATTCATTAGTAGCGATTTTAAATTATAAATCTTTAAATTTATTTAATAGTAAAAATAACTCAACTGAAATATTTGACTAAAATAAAGGTAGGTATGTTTTGTCCGAAAACAATTAATGTATGTGAAATTGGTGTAGTGGTTAAGGACGTTGTCTATTGACGAGAAAATTGGGGTTCAATTCACACCAAGGATAAAATTTTTGTTTTATCAATAAAAAAATAATAGAAAATATGATACATATTAGGTAACAAATTTTCGAAAAACTCATTATTTACAATTTATTTTTATTCCAATGTTATAAAACGGAAATACAAAATAATTCAAATTCAATTCATACAGTCTTCAGTTGTGAATGCAAAATAATCCGGTGAAGACTGTTTATATCAAATCCATCACTAAATTCTCAATGTTAATATCAATTCCTCTGTACAGGTAATGATTTTCAAAACAATTGACAACATTGGAATGGATGCGCGCGAAGCGAAGCCTTTAAGCCATCAAATAATAACATATCGAGAAGTGTTTTTGCACGGTAAACAGAAACTTTTTATTGAAAAAACAATTCGTGAAAATGGTTTTAACGGTCGAGGAAAAAGTGCAAATTGTTGTCTGGCATGTGAATGGATTCTCAGACAACATGATTAGACAACAATTTGTAAATATGTTTCCAAATAGGCCGGCTCCATCACGATCAACAATTCAATCTATTATACGTAATTTTTTTACTTATGGATCCGTGTTCGCTCCAAGAGGAGTTCGTAGACGAAGGGAGGTAAATCCAGATTTGGAACTAAGGGACACTTTGATTTGTGCAAGTATTGAGCAAAATCCTACCCAATCAACATCTCGTCTCGGAGAACAATATGGAATTTCAAGATTTAGAGTTGGTAAAATTTTGAAAAGACATGGATACCGACCCTATAAACTTCATAAATCCAACGAACAATTCCCTGGGGATCAATATAGACGTTTAGAATTTTGTCAAACTGCAATGGAAATGTCACATCAAGATGAACATTTTTTAGAGAACGTCTTGTTCACCGATGAATGTACGTTTTCATTGCATGGCCGTCACAATTCAATGAATGCTCGGTATTGGTCCCGAGGAAATCCTCGTCAGATTTATGTCGCTCGTACCCAGCGTCCTCAAAAAGTAAATGTTTGGGAGGCATAATAGGGAATCATGTCATTGGTCCATTTTTTATAGACGGTATGTTGACTGGGCGGAAATACTTGGAACTTCTGCAAAATCAAATTGTCCCAGCCCTTCGTAATTTACCAATTCCTTTCGATTCCATATGGTTTCAACACGATGGTTGTCCTGCACATAATTCTCGCATCGTCAGTGAATATCTCAGTGCGACTTTTCCTAATCGATTGATTAGTGGACACGGAGATATTTTTTGGCCTGCAAGATCACCTGATCTTGCACCTTGTGATTTTTTTATGTGGGGATATATCAAGTCCAAACTATATGGAATTGAAGACGATAGGCCTAATTCTCTCCAAGAATTAAGAGAAAAGATCTCTGATTCAATGAGAGGTATTAGTCCAGAAACATTAACTAATGTTAGACGAAACTTTTATAATAGATTGGGTTATTGTTCTGCTGCTAATGGAGGCTTATTTGAACATTTTTTGTAAATACATTTCATTAGAATAAAATACGTTTATTTAGAATATTTTTATAGAATTTCTGCTTATTTAAACATTTTTTGTAAGTACATTTATTTAGAACGTTCTTTTATGTTTGAAGAATTTTTACTTTATTTTCGAAAGTACGACATTGTTTTTTCAATAAGATTTTCATGTTTTACTATAAACACTTCTAATAAAGACTGAAATAAATGTTTTATGATTTAAAGCAAAACGATATAATATCTGCATAATTTCAAATTTTTAAAAAAGTAAAAACTTCGTGTAGGATTTGAACCCTAACCGCCTGCATGAGTACATCGTGCCTTGAACCCTGATCCATCAGACTTTTATAATTCTTTAGTGACAGTTTGGGTTATTATTCTGCTGCTAATGAAGGCTTATTTGAACATATTGTAGATACGTTTATTTACAATATTTTTTTATTTTTGTAAAAATTTTACTTATTTAAACATTCTTTTAATTTTGAAGAATTTTTACTTTATTCTCGAAAGTACGACGACACTATTTTTTCAATAAGATATTTATGTTTAACTTTAAACACTTCAAATACTAGTAACGACTGACATAAATGTTTAGTGATTCAAAGCAAAACGATCTCTGCATAATTTCAAATTATTAAAGAAAGAAAAAAGAAAACCTCATGTAGGTTTTGAACTCTAATCATCTGCGTCGCAGAGTCGAATTCTTACCACTAATCCACGAAGGATTGCTAATTATTCTGTGACAAGAGTGTATGAAACTCCTCTAATCATAGTAGAAATTATTCTTGGTTAATAATTTAAAACTTTAGCATAAGTAATCACTATTAATTAAATTATTTTATTCACATTTTTGCTTTATTGTGGTCAATCAGTTTTTACTTTATCTAAATTAAAAAATGGAAATACGTCACACATACGACGTCAAACTGTCAAACATAATAATTATGACCGAGGTGATTTAGATCGAAGGTAATGTCTAAAGGTGTGAGACTATCGATAGTCGTAATGTAATGTAATGTAAATTATAGGTTTCTATCGATTATTTCCCACCTCTGCGAGTTTCATCTCCTTTTATTTCAAAAGATAACTGTGTTTTCTATCTCTTACGTTAAAAAGCCGGGTGATTAGGCACTCATCACTGTATACAGAGCAGTATTAAGAAAGAAATGTGTTAGGGTTGTAACATATATTATAAATATTTTTTTTATCTTTCAGGCAAATCTTAAAACAAACAAACTTGACCCCATTGCTGTAGTTGCTGGATATAGCTACAAAGATCAAGGACAAGAAAAACATCAACTAACTGGTAACGTAGCTTTACAGTACAGTAGAGGCAAAAACTTGAAATTAGATGGAACTCTTTCAAAACTCGCCAAACATCAATACAAATTGGAAGCAGAGCTTGATACTCCATTCGAAAGCTTAAAGAAGAATCATTTGTTAGTCGAAACTAGGGGCTCTGATGACTATCAGCAAGTCACAAGTAAAGTAGTATTGACCAACGACGGCAAGAAATGGCAACTCGATAGTGACTTAAAATCATCAGAAATCTCACCGTTGATTCATTTGAAGTTAAGATCTCCCGAAGGAAAGCTTACTGAAGTATTGTTAAAAGGAAATAAAGTTAGCGACAAGGAACTTGGTGTTGAATACAAATTGTTATGTCAAAAGAAAGACTTCTTACTCGAAGGAAAATTGGATGCTAATGTAGCAGATGTTGACAACTTTTATGTTAAAGGTAACTATGATGCTTTTCTATACGTAAATTAAATATGACTTAATCATTTTTTATTCAATCCAATTTTATTCAATTCAAATATGTTGTTTTTTTTAATTTTAACACATAATTTTGCGTTGTAGGTAGTATCAATTCTCCAAAACTTGAATTAAACAAAATCACTTTCGAGGCAACCAACAAAGGTAATAAAGCAGCCAAGAAAATTCAAATTCACATAAAATCTGCAGACAAAAACCTCGTTAGTGGAAGTACGACCTATCAGGCCAGAGAAGAACACGGAAAATACATTATCGAAGGCTCAGGATCATTAAAAATTAAAGAAGAAAACAAAGCTGCCAACTTCAAATTTATTTCCCAAGAATTGTCACAGGAGAAGAATGGAGAACAAGGATTCCAAATTTCATTTGTTGCTGGAGTGGGCATCAAAAATTTTGATTCCGAATTAAAAATCACAAACAAGCAATTCAGAATTCTTGACTCTTACTGTGAGAAAAACAAGGAATGTGCACACTTTGAGCTCGATTCCAAAATCAACGAAAATGGTAATTACCTTTTTTATTTCTAATAATTCTTTATATAAAATTTTATTATAATATTTTAAAATTTCTTGGTTGGATTAAACTTTTTTACTATTAAACCAATATTATATACTATTTTAGATGTCGATAGATTTAATCACGTCTTGGAAATAACCGTTGACCTAAAAAAACTTGGCCTTCCAAATGAATTTGGTCTTAAAGCAGTCACCACAAGGAAAGGTTACGTTCTTGATCACACAGTCGATATTCATTTCCAAAGCCCACAAAACAGCAAATATCAATACAGCGTTTATCTCCACCCTGACGAAGCTGGAGTCTCTTTGACCACTCCAAACAGAATAGTATCTTTAGAAAGTCAAATCAAAGGACCCAGAAATGTTAAACTAGCCGGAGGTAAAATTACTGCTGAAGTGGCGTTCTACCTCGACAAAAAGAATCAACCCAATCAGAAGGCTAGTCTAAGTGGTTGGATAAGCGTTGACGCTAAAGGCAAAGGCGCCGTAGTTAACGCGGAAGCTTCATTGTCACATCCTGGACTTCAAAGAGTAAGTACATTTTTTTAATAAACAACATTCTTTTGTTAATTTTTCTGGTTTTATACGAGGTTTCTTGCAAATTATTCTTTAGTGATTGATTTTTTGTTCTATTTTACATGTTTCGTTTCCTTACTAACTACCATCTCATGACCACCTAGAGCAGGAGTCACCATATAGCGGACCCCGGTCCGCATTCGGACCGTGAGCTTGTTTTTTGTAGACCGCCGTTAAATTCAAAATATAGTACTAGAATTATAGTGTAAAATTGTAATCAAATCTAAATATATAAATATCTTTACATTTTTAAAATGCACAGTACTAATGCTATATAGAAATACTCGTAATAATACACATAAAAGAAGTTCTGTCCACTTTTGATGCTGCTGCAACTATTGATGGGGAATGAAACTGCAAATGACCATTTGGGCTTTCTCTTTGACACAGAAAACGTTGCAACTATCGCATTTTTGGCGGATATCTTCAGACATCTGAAATTCTTGAATTAAAATTACAATGCAAGAGAAAATTGGTTGTGAACTCCTGTCGGATATTAGAAGTTGAAATATATGCTCCGTCAGAAAATGCATCAAAAGCAGTTAAACAAATATTCTACGAAACTTTATCGCAACTCATTGAAAATATAAATAGCCGCCAAGAAATTGTGTTGTTGGGAGATTTTAACGCTTGGACAGGAACAAAAACAAATGACAAAGTCGTAGGAAAATATGGTGACGCTAAAACAAATAAAAATGGGGAACACTTAATCGAATTCTGTGAACTGCACTCTCTGAAAATCCTAAACGGATTCTACCAACATAAAAACATACATAAGTACACCTGGGTTCAACCAACGCCAAACACAAAGTCAATTATAGACTATGTCATCACAAAACAAGAAACACACATACAAGTTGAAGGCATAAGAGTATATGGTAAGATCAAAATGTTACGTACAGTATCGACCTCGGCTACTACATCAAAATGACAACCAACTAGCTCAATCAAAACCCCTGGAATCGAATCTACCTAAATACAATATTGATGCACTGCAAAACGAGACTTAGCCAAAAATTGGCAAACCTGATCTACTCCTCAGCCCGGAATACCTATAAAGAGATACTCAATAAAATCAATGAAGCAGCTTACGAAGCGCTCGGCACAATCCAAAAGAACAAAAAGAATACTCCATTGTGGTGGACAAATGACATCGCCAATGCAGTACACAACAAGAAACAAGCATATCAAAAGTGGCTGCAAACAAATGATCCAGATGATAGACGAACGTATGCAAGATCAAACAGAGAAGTAAAAAATTTAGTAACTAAAGCAAAAAATATTTGCTGGGAAAGTAAATGCGAAGAACTCAACAAATATATAGGGTCAACAAAATCAAGAGAAGCATGGAAAACGATAAAAAATCTGAGAACAAACAGAAAAGAAACGAGTAGAATAGATTTAATAGAAGAAAGATCTTGGATCGAACACTACTCACAACTTTTGATTGAAACAAGACCTCAATTCACGAACATCAGTACAACAACATATAAACTGGAATTAAGTGAAGACGATGAAATAACAGTACGGGAAGTCGAGAATGAAATACGAAGTCTAAAAAATCGGAAGTCATGCGGACCACAAGGTATATCAAATGAATTATTAAAACATAGCCCACAAGTATTACGGGAATTACTGGCGTATGTCTTCACCTTATTCTATAATGGACACGAATACCATCGGAGTGGATAAAAGCACATATTAACAACATCTACAAAAAAGGAGATAGAAAGAATTATTCAATCTACAGGGGGCTAAGTGTCAAAAATTCACTTTCAAGACTGTATGGAAAAATAATAAAAAATAAAATTGAAAAAGAGATGGCAGATGTAGAAGAACAGAATGGCTTTCCTGCAGGCAGATCCTGTATGGACAGTATATTCTCTCTAAAGCAAGTTATCGAGAAAAGATTAGCCCACAACCTTTCAACTGATATAGTCTTTATAGATCTGACAAAGGCATACGATAGTGTACCACTTTCAATGCTTTGGCAAGTATACAAGCAGTACAACAGCTCTACAAAAATATGACGGCAAACATTAAAACTGGAAATAGATTAACTAGACAAATTCTTATTAGTAAGGGTCTAAAGCAAGGCTGCTGCATAACACATACACTCTTCAAAATATATCTAAATGAGGCACTCTCACTGTGGACAAGAAAGTGCTGCAATCCCAATCGGAGATAATAGATTGTACACGATACACTTCGCTGACGACCAAGCCATTCTAGCTGAAGACGAAAGTAATGTAGGCTACATGCTTAAAAAACTGGAAGATGAGCACACCAAATGGGGCCTCACAATTAATATACAAAAAACTGAGTACTTAGTTATAGGAGAAAAACCAGAAAGCCTACAAATCGAAATCGGAACTATAAAATCAACAGACAATTTTAAATACTTGGGAGTCCAAATAACATCAAAAGCAGGAAGTAGCGAAGAAATACAATCCAGGATTGGCCAAGCAAGATCAGCTACCAGACAGCTACACGGTCTATTATGGAATAAAAAAATAACAAAAGAAAATAAAAGAAGAATTTACAAAACAATAATAGAAAGTATTGGGCTGTACGGCGCCGAACTCTGGGAAATAAACCAAAGAAACCAATCAAAGATTAAGGCCATGGAAATGAACTACTGGAGACGACGTTGCCAGCTCACTAGACTTGATAGGGTGAGAAACGAAGATATTCGATACAGAGAAATGGAAATCGATCTAGACATAATAGACACAATCGAAGCCAAAGGACTTAACTGGTATGGACACTTTTAGAGAATGCCAGAAAATAGATGGCCAAAAAAAATAGAAGAATGGACTCCGCCAACTAGAAAAAAACGAGGTAGACCAAGACGATCCTGGAGAGACAATGTCAACCATGCAATGACCGCCAGAGATTTAACAACTGAAGATTGCTTCGACAGAAAACGCTGGAAATTAGGATGCAAGAAGCCAGCTGTAGAAGACCCGCTTGTTATATATTATATATATCTAAAAAGATTGAATTTTTTTCTGAGGATATTAAGGCAGAACTTTTGCATTTTCCTCTCCTTAAATCCGTTTGTGATAGTAATAAAGATATTAATGTTACATAGTCCTCACGTTTTATTAATAAACTTGATTTGGAATTTAAAATACGATTTGCTGATTTCCACAAAATTAAAAAATGTTGTGCAACTGTAAAGCAACAGTTTTTCACTCAAGCGTAATGGTGTATGGACCAGCGAAGCTGCAGACTCATTAGGCAGCAAAAATTTAATAAACAAAGACGGGAGAAAAAACAATATAATAGCTTTATAATTATCTTTTTCCTTGAGTTTATTTCATACCCCTTTTCAAACGAGGTGGCTTAGTTGCCTGGTTTCAACTATGTAACCAGGATGATCTGCTGAGGGGGGTTATAAGGTTACAACTACTGGAGGGATTTTGAGTAAACTCCCTCTCCGGTTACACCATTGCCTGCTTTAGTGCTGAGTGTCCGGACCGCTGAAGTGTATTAGGCTTGCGAAAGGGAATAAAATTGGTGAACCCTGACCTAGAGATATATAATAATAATCCAGTTCTACAATTCTAGACGTCTAATGGATGCTAAGTTTATCATTTATTTCTTTTTATGTACGCATAGAGAATGATTTATAAAAATTAAAGTATGGTAATAATACTTTTTAAGGGTGATATAAAATACAGGGTGATTCATTTATAATCCAAAAAATATTGTACTTTATTTTGGCTTACCCTGTATTCGATTTAATGAATATTATGAAAATTAATGGTTTTTATAATTTTTGACTATTATTAAAAAACCATGGTTGAAATAGATCATTGTTCCTGTACTTATAACATCGGTTATAGCTTTTTGTATACCCAGTATAACAAATAACAATTTGTGACGGAAAAGTGATTCAGAATAATCTCTTAGTTATCCCTACTGTAATAACAATTAATATACTTTTTTTATTGCAGCCATTATCTATTACATTCAAATCTGTGCGCGGAGATCAATCTCCTCTTCCCGAACTTACTACCTCCACCGTCATTGATGTTTTCGCCCAACCAAATCAGAAGCTAGTAATCGATTACAGATTCACACCACAAGTCGCCAATGACAATACCAACGCTGTGATTTACAATGAATTATTGGTAAAGAGTGTCGGTCTAGGTATTAATATCGAAGCTACTGAAGAAGCAAGACTAAACAGAAAAACAATTTCCGGAGACTACTACTCAAGACTAAAATATGTGGTTGGAAACTCCAACTATGACAATCTGATATCCATTAAAGGCAATCAACAACGATCGGAAGTTATCCTTAGATTATTAAATATTGACTTACTGAAGATTGAAAACAAATATCAACTTTCTAACGATGATATAATTGTTGACTCTGAACTGACCTCTTACGATAACAAACCTCTGGTTAGTCACTTGGAAGTTAAGAAATTCAAAACTGTCTTGTTTACCGTTGGTCACAAAAGTAAGTATGCATCAATATCTTTGTTAATTAGTATCTCTGATTGGCAATTAACCAGCGTACATTTTAATACAACGTCGCGATGCTTTATAATTAATTAATTTTTTCGACTTGAGCTCCAGTCGATATCCTACCGCACCTTCGCAAACGATCATCGTTATTCCATGCATGCAGCATTGCATGGTACGATACCACTAGTGCAAAAACGAAACACAGGTATAGTGCATATCAATTCGCCAAAAACGTACATTTTTACGCAGATACGGAATTAAAAATATTATTTAACTAAAAAAAATTGTTATACCTCTTTCTTATACCTATTTTACCTCTTTCTTCAGAGCAAAAACCGAATGTGTTTCACAAAGATACTCTCATAACCCTGAGCAGTTCTGGACTAATGTTCCCACATAGAGGAATTATTTTTCCCCTCAATTCCAGTAAATTTCGGAAGCTTTTAAAACCATGTCAATAATCCATTGCTTTCAGAGATAAGTCTGGTGATCTGAGAGGCCACTTCATCTTACAGTAAAAAGAAATTAATTTATTTTCAAAAATGGTTTCTAAATAATTTTAAACTGCTCGTGTATTGTAAACAGGACAGCCTTTTTGCTAAAACCCAGTTTGTTAGATAGTTCCTGGTGAATAATAATATTTTCTACTGAATCATAACGTTCTTTGTAATCAGTACCGACAAACTATTTGCAGCCCCCGGTAAGATGTTGGATGGTTTCTTAGACTTGATATCCATATCGGCATTTGTCGTTTTGGACCTGAGGGTCTTTAATCATATATTTCAGGTAATTTTTAGTTATTGAATGGCAAGTAAGAAACACTCTCTCTCAGAAAACATCTTTCCTGATGTCAACCAATAACAGTTCGGTGCTATATTGTTGACATATTCGTGACTGATCTCTTGACAAATCATGAATACTCCAAAACTTCTGTATCCAGAAGCTTTTCACTCCGTCTGGTCCAGGATTCCTACCCCATCATGTTCTGATCTTAATGGCCGTAACATTAGTAATTGCTATTGCTACACAATAAATCAGCATACGCAAATATTCCAATGTATGAACTGGTAAAACTTCGCTGTTCACAATTGTAACAGCGCATATATTTTCTTAAAAGAGTTTATTTTTGGTAGCAGTAGTCTGCTAAGTGGGTTTTTTTCATTAAACCCTTGTCCTGCACGTACCATTTCACTCACCAGGCTATCCTGCAACTCGCTGTTGCCCTGCTGCGTATTAACAGGTTCAGTTTCTTTTATGAGAAACTCAGGAACCTGCTCATTCGGGATTTCATTAGAGACTTGATCTACAGTTAGCTCTTGGTTATGAATCTCCCTTTCGATTTCGCTTCTGATCATATTGCGTCTAGTCTCTGAAACAACATTGTTTTTTATAATTTCCCGGTACTGGTCTGCTACTCGTTCAGATATTTGGATTTCTGAGTTCTTCCTGCGAAATTCGACATACAGCTGTTTGTCACCTTATAATAAAAGCGCAAAATTTTTTACTCATGGACATTGTCAAGTTCGCGAGTGAGCGTCGGCTGATGTTCCAACGCAGCACTTGTTTGGCTCGCTTGCGGTTGTTATTGAGCTGTAGCTGATTTTATGACAGAGGTCCGCCTCCTAAATGGCTCCAGACGTCCCCTGGCGATCCCCAGGAAGCGAATCTAAACATAAACGATTAAACTCCATTGTCATAGATGTACATTGTATACTTACTGCCAAGTGCTAGTTTTTGTTCCACAGCAGGTATCTCTGCTACTCTCTGCGAATACCCAGAGATCACCTCCTATTCGCAGGGGCTACGCCTGATAAAAGAACGTACAAAAAACTTCCAAAGGTTCTCTTTTATTATTGTTACTATTGTTTGTTCTATATATCTATCCGAACTGAAGTAAAACAAACATTTAATTTAAAATGTTATTTTTTTAGATACACCAAAACAAAAACTCCAAATCAACAGCGGTTTTATTCCTGGTCAAATCGCTGATCTTCGTGCTGACTACCTTACAGGCGGAGGAACTTTGAATCTATTCCACGCTACCCTAAAACTCGACGAAGCCAACTTCCTTAAACCAGACTACAGCGTAAACGCAAAGGGAATTGAAAAAGTCTTTAACCAAGGCAAAGAAGGAATTTCTCGTTTCGTTAACGGTCTCGAGAGAATCGAAGACGAAATCGAGAAGGACATTCGCAAAGAAGCTAGTCAACTCTCCGAATTAGCAAAGAAAGCAGCTCCCAATCTTCAGTCAGTGCAACAATACTATTCTACCGAACTGCAAAAAATTAAGAACGAAATCTTGAAGGATAAATCTTTACAAGAATTTGGAGAACTCTTAAAATCATTATTCTTCACTGTTAGTGAACTTGTCGGTAAGTTCAACAAATATAATCTATAGACAATTAGAAGTATCTTTTAATACTAATATTTTTTACAGAAACAATCTTTGTTAGAGTATTTGAAATACTAGAAGCTGTAACTCATGCAGTCCAAAGTGTTATAGTTGCCTTCGTTGAATCATTCGAGAAGCATATCGTACCAGCTCTCAAGGATCTCGTCGAGAAACTCTCTGCTATTGCCGGTGATATCCTTAATACCTTAGTGGAAATTACTTCAAGTTATTTGGCCACAGTCAGCGAAATCATCGAAAAATACCAACCAGAAATTAAACAATTAACTGCTACATTCGGTGAATTGGGACAAGATATTGCTAGATTTATTCAGAAGTCTTACGAACAAGTTAGACGAATTTTCATTAACTTATACAGAAGACTGGTTGAAGAACTTAAAGCTCTTGCACTATTTGACGAAATACGTGCACAATGGGAGGACGTAAGTATGCTAAAAAAATTTATATTTCTAAAATGTGAAATAAAAATATCTGCTTCCTTTTTCATTGATATTATCTGTTTATTGTCCTGGCAAAAAGTTAGAGACGGATTTTCTGTTTTATTCCTTTCTGTAGCGGGAAATCGGTGACTCTTCTAAATTTCTTGTATTTTAATGGACCTAAGAAACATAACTACAGGGTTTCAGATATCTACTACCTTCGTAGGAATCATATCCATACCATTTTAACAATTAAGACCTTTCATTCCTGATGAAAAGTTTGCCTCTTTTACTTAGAGCTGTTTGGGCCTTTCCCTTAGTCTTTCAGTTTCTGGCTTCCATCTGGTGACCTTAATCAGTAGGTTGTTTTTTCTTCTCTCTATGTGTTTAAGCCAATCCAGTATCTGCGCTTAAATTAATCTAACTATATCTTCTCCCTCTATTTCCATTCTTATCGACCCCATAATTCTTTTGAGGATTTTCCTTTCCAATATTCTTAATTTCTCTTCATCTTGATATATGAGGCACATTGCCTCAGCGGCGTATGTAACTGCTGGTCTGATTGCAACTCTATATATTTCCAGTTTTGTATTTCAGGATAAGCTTTTGTCCTTCAGCCAGTAGTTAGCGCTTCTCCTTTACATCGACTAAGTCCGTTATATATGTCCATGGGGAATTGTTTTGGCCAAGATTCTTGCCCAAATCTTTTTTGCAACTATTCTTAGAAACAGGTTCCCATAAAGGCCCTTATCCCCCAGCATATTACTTTAATTTTAATATTGTTTTTATTTTAGTTTGTCAAGAACGGATTACCAAACGCTGAGGGAATCGTAGGTGGAATAAAGGAAGTAGCTGCTACCATTAAAGATTTGGTTCCCGCTGATCTCTTTGTTTCTAAAGAAGTCTATGAGTTCGTTGATATTCTTACTGATTATTTGGAAAAGGTGAGTAAGGATATGTCTAAGTTATATACTAACAATATTATTATCTAACAATACCTACTAATATCATTATTAATCATGTTACTATAATGATCATAAAGGTCAACAGCCTTTTATTTCAATTCGAGCTACCACAAGTCTTCATGATTAGGGGTTCAACCCCGAAACAAGTGTAGAAAAATGGTGGAGCCCGAACTGCAAAGAAATGCAATCGTCCACTTATTTCTCTACGTAAAGAGCGTAGTGTTTAGTGATAATAGTGTTTTTCAAGAGTAAACTGTAGATGTATTGTCTGAATAAAAGGCTATTCATAAAATCGTCCAATAGCTTACATATTTTACTTACATATAGGAAAATAATCTATTTTTTTTTGTAGAAAATCAAACAACAACCTGTAGACGACATCGCAGTTTTGAACAAACTTTTCACCGTTAGCGCCAATCTCGTTCAAAAGATCTTGACCTTGATAACATCTTCAACTGCTGATATTCAACAACCCCAAGTATCAATTTCTCTCGATTTCTTTAAGAAGCTGCCGAAATTGGTTGCTGTTAAATTGTCACCTATCAATTACATCCTACTAGAAGATCCTTCCAAGGAACTCATGGATCTAGGCTTGTCATTATTCACGAAACCAAAAGAATGGTTCGCTCCATTCCAACGTAAGTACTAAAAATCGTAGATAATACTAAGTACTTTAAATATAGTATAAGTAATTTTTATCAAGTAATATGTTACATGTTACAATATTTAAACTTAAATTGCATGAAACGCGAAATTTGACGAATCTAGTTTTAGAAATACCTGTTATGGAAATCTACATATTATGACATCACTCATTGTTTATAAACTCTTACTTTAAGTATTCTGTCACCTGGAGCTAGACCTCCACTTGATCTCAGACCGTGTTGAACGTGTCAACACGTGTCAATACCACATCAAAGGAATTCTTTTTTCTACGTGTCTTAATCAGCTCAACGTAAGTCTCAGGATTGTCAATCAATTCCAGTTTTAGTCTTTTCTTCTCAATGGCGCCAAAGTCTCTATCAACTGGCACCATAGAGTGTCCTAGAATTGCATACCATATTTCAATATTTTTTAAAATATTTCGTTTGCATAACTGGTCTAGGTAAGTCAAAAGAATTTGATTGTTGTTTTGGCTAAATGCGTTATCACAAAAATTTTTAACTTTGTGTGCAGCGAATCTTTGTGTTTTTCGATATAATCATTCAAGTAGGTTATAAACTCATTCGGCGCTTTCTGGGCAAAATTTTCCGTGTAAGTGTACATTGTTTATGTGTTTTTAGATTGTGAATTCCAAAAACGTACAACCATTACTGACTAATATAATATTCATCTTGTGTGTTAGTTAAAGGTAAAGGCAGGTTCTTTTCATAATCAAAACATATAATCATTTCAGAAGAATTATTTGATTTTTGAACTTCAGCTAGTTGTGTTTTAAATACATCTGCTTTTCTAAGATGAATCTTCATATCTCTTTTAAGTGTTTTTAAGGTTTCCTCATTAGATTCCAGTTCAGCTTATTCTTCTTCTTCTTCAAGTTCCACTCCTATCGGAGATTGGAATTCATTCGTTTGTTTTGCGATCCATCCATGATTTTTTCAAAATACGTCGATAACACCACATTTCGAATGCTTCTAGGTTTTTAATGTTGGATTTTTTAAGTGTCCAAGCTTCAACTCCATACAAAAGGGTAGAGAAAATATAACATCGAAGCATTCTTATCTGGAGCGATATATTGATATCGCGATTACAAAAAAGTTTTCTCATTCTATTAAAAGTTGACCGCGCAATTTCAATGCGGCATCTTATTTCTTTTGTCTGATCAGTATCTTCTGTAATCCATTATCTAGTACTAGCTTAACTTTGATGTTTTGTGCTTTTGTAAATACCATGAACTTGGTTTTCTTCAAATTGATTTTTAGTCCATAATCGTTGCAATATATATTTAGTTGTTCAGCAAGGTGTTGCAGTTCTTCTAGTGTTCCTGCCAGAAGGACGGTGTCGTCAGCATATCTTATGTTATTAAGTGACTCACCGTTTATTATAAGGCCCTCACTGATCTCGGCAAGCGCTAATTCTGAGGTGGCTTCACTGTATAAATTGAATAACAAGGGTGATAAAATACACCCTTGGCGGACCCCACGGCGAATCTGGATATCCTTGGTCAGTTCGTTTTCTTCAACTTTCACTCTTGCTGTTTGATTCCAATAGAGGTTACAGATGATTCTAATGTCTCTACTGTCTATGTTTTTATTTAATAAAATTTCTTTAAGTCGATTATGCTACACTCTGTCAAATGCCTTCTCAAAATCAATGAAACAGGCATATACTTCCTGATTAATATCTAAGCATCTCTGCGAAAGAACACTTAATGCAAACAGTGCATCTCGTGTTCCCAGTCCTTTCCTAAATCCCATTTGTGTATTACTTATGCCTTCATCTAATTTCTTATGTATTCTATTGTGAATTACTTTTAAAAACAATTTGGATTTAGCTACTTTTTGCACTGACCCTTTCAATTATGAATCGAAAAGTGTAATTTACTTTAATAAAATAAAAAAACACCTGTTTAATATTTTGCCTTCTTAATTAATAAATATTTCTTTATTTTTAGTATTTGGAATGATTCTCCAAGCTCAGCACGTATATACATTCGACGGAAGATACCTTAACTTCCAAGGAACCTGCAAATATCTTTTGGCAAGAGACGCTGTCAACGGCAACTTTACTGTTATTGGAAGCACTGCAAACGGACGTCTTAGCACCATTTCTTTGGGCGACAAAGAAGATATTGTTACTGTTAATGAGCACGGACAAGTTATCTTTAACGGAGGTAGGTAATCAAAACACGTTTAATCAATCTTGTTAAAACTATTGTATTGGTATCTTGCTACCTGGTTATACAGTGGTAACTACATTTTTTAATTTTAGCTCACGCTGAGTTCCCTGTTCGCAAAGGAGGACTTGCAGCTTACAGAACCTACGAAAACGTCCATCTAAAATCAAGCGCCGGAGTTCATATCATTTGCACACCAACATTACAAGGATGTGGAGTTTACCTTTCAGGTTTCTACCACGGCCAAGTTAAAGGTCTTCTGGGTAGAGGCAACAACGAACCTTTCGATGATCTCACTGTTGCCAACGGAAAAATTGTTACATCAGATGTCGAGTTCGTCAACTCCTACAAAATCGGTAACTGCCAACCAGCCGTTGTACCTCCTTCTGCACCATCTAATCCAGCTTGTGAAAAACTCTTCGGGTGGGAATCTTCGCTCAGACTGTGCTATCCATTTGTTGACACCGATATTTTCAAGAAGGCCTGCAACTTTGGATTTGCAAACAATGTAAAGGATACTGAAATGTCCGCTGCCTCAGCTTATGTAGGACGTTGCCTTGAACACAACATTCCAGTTAGTGTTCCTTCTAGATTAAGTAAGCTATTTTTTATTTTATATTGATTATGTATAATTTTTTATATTTTGGTTTTTACTTTTAACAGACTAGTTGTAACGATAATATTTTGCCTACCTTAGGGTAAGATCATGGGGGTAGAAAATTGGGGACAGAAACTAAGGGCGTTGAGATAGGACAAGCAAAACAATCGATACTTGTGCGTGCGGCACTCAGGGGTTAATTGGAGAGCTAGGTCATGGATAAGTTGAAATAAAAAGGTCGGATTGGGGTAACTACAAAATGAAACAAAGGGATACTTACATAAATCTCCTAGAACAAAATTCGGACTATCTATTTCAATTCGGACGCCGCTTCGAGAGGACTTCCTGCTGGAAGAAAGAAAGGTTCTTCTTTCCTAAAATCAAGAATAGACACCAAGGTTAGGAGACTTCCCTAAACTAAACACAAAAAAAATAAATCAGAGAAATAAATCAAACATTTATTTTTTGTCTCAAACAAACAGTTACCAAAATACAGATGGCACAAAAAAATATACTATATTAATAGTTGCAAAATACAAAATTACAAAGAAAATTTTTACATGTTCAATCTGTTTATAATGGAGATTGCTACAAAATCTTTCAAAATGGTTACTAGGTTATTTATCACTGTGGCCAAAATAGATTATTGAAATTAAGGATATCTTTATAAATGAAAATATCGTAAGGTTTAACCTTTTCTACAAGCAAATTAAAAATTGTCACAACAAAAACAAATTAAAGCTAGCTGTCATATGTCAACACAACATTTTAAGAAGGAATAAATATGACATTTATAACCACACCCTAGTACATATAATTTTAATTATTACAGGTTCTTAAATTTTAAACGAAAGCAATTATTGTTACTTAAAAAAATGTCTATTTTACATATGGACATCATCAACGAAAAGCTTTATCCATTGGAGGCTGAAACTGGCACACTGGCACATTCAAATACAAAACTGCTCCAATAACATACTAAATGAGGTGAAGAGGCATTTGCACAAACCTTGGAAAACGGGATTTCTTAAAAAAAAACAGGAACCAAACTTGTTCACTTCTCAAACATTATAAAATCTTCAGAAAACCGAAGCACTGGTCACTCTTCCAAATATGACATATTACATAGAGTGAAAACTCTACTATTTTTGGCGAATTAATGCCAGGTCACTACAGAACAGTTAACAATCTCCGTTCAGTTCAAGCAACTCTTCAAACCTTACGTGAATTCCTTTCGATCTCCAAAACCAAACGCGCATCCTTCCCCTTACATCTCTTCCGATGCCCGTTCGTGCCACCGAACTCAAATAAAATAATCCTCTTTGACTATCTCGCCAAATACCCTTGAAACATTTCCAGTTCGAAATTAACACTTACATTTAACTTCTACGCCGAATTAAACCGAAATTTAACCTTGAGACTTTCCTCAACTTGAATTCAGAAACGTAAAAAATAGAACGCAACTTCTAACAAATACATAAAATCTTTTTTGGGAATTTTTAATGCGTACAAAGAGACAAAATTGTTTATATCAAGCTCAGGGGCGTACTACAAAATTTTATTAATAATTATTTTGTCTTGTCCTTTTGTCTTTGAATGTCCTTGTGTAGCCAACCAGAGGTTGTCATAACTTTTTGCTTGCCATTGTTTTGGAATATTATTTAGTAGGCTGCATTGAGTCCTTTTTCCCTTTCAGCAGCTGTACTCAATTAGTTTGACTTTTTATTTATATAAGCGAGGTTCCTAGAGCCTCTGCCGCCTCTCGCATTTTGACCGCCATCGTTTTCTGTCCATCCATTCTTCTTCTTTGATGGTTCTATCTCTCATTATGTGTCGTACATTTGTTTCCCATGCAACTGAAGGCCTTCCCCTTCTTATTCTTTGTTGTGGTATGTAACTTAAAGCTTTCTTTGGCCATCTATCTTCATTCATTCGCTTTACGTGACCATATCACACTAGTTGTCTCGTTTCAATTCTGTCCACACTGGAATATACAGTATTTGTCCTCCTTCTAATATCTTGATTCCTGATATGATCTTTTTTGGATATTTCTACTACTTCTATTATTTCTCTATCTTTTTCGTGATCTGCCAAACTTCTGCCCCATAAGTCATAATAATCTCTACCAAAGTTCGATAGATTTTCAATTTTGTTTCTTGTTTAATATCTTTAGACCATAGTAGAGAGTTTAGAATGTTTTCTAAACTCTCTACTTTTTTCCCTGCTGCGTTCTGTTTTCGATGTCTCTTTTGGTAGTGCCTTCTTTAGATATTATAGATCCGAGATATTTATATTCATTACATGTTGTGTTTCTAATTTCTAACTCTGGATCTTCTTCATCATCTCCTATTTTAAGACGCTTTGTCTTTTGACATATTCATATTGAGGCCCCATTTTTCATATCCTTTCTTTAGTTTTCTAAACATGTAGTTCATGTCTTCCTCATCATTCGCTACGACTACCTGATCATCTGCGAAAAATAAAGTTGTTAGACATTTACCATCGCCTATGTCTATTCCCATTCCGGATACTTGTTTCCTCCACTGCTCTAGTGATGATTGAATATATATTTTAAATAAGGTCGGATATAGACAACATCCGTGTTTAAGTCCCTTTGTTATTGGAAATGATTCAGATATAGTTTGACTTTTTTCCTCGCCAAAATTATTGTTTTCATTTAATATAATATCTGTTTATACATGTATATTTTTTTAAACATGGAGTAAATAAATAGTGAAAAATACAATTTACATTTTCTTTTGCACAGCTCAATGCCTTAACGGACCTGAAGCTCACAATGTTGGAGACCAATTTAGCGTAAAAGTACCAAAGAATGCAGCCGATATTGTTGTTATGGTCGACACTGTCAAAGCTAATGAGCCAGTTTACAATGAATTAGTGAAACCTCTTATTCAAGAGCTTACCAAGGGATTAGCTGCCAAAGGATTAACGTAAGTATAATTTTAACTTTAATTTTTTAAATGTAAACAAGGTTAGAAAAATCGTACACAGAACATTTTTGAAAAAAAAAATAAAACAAAAGATGAGAAGGAACAGACTTCTAACTAAAACGAGAGAAATCAATATAGCAGTAAAAAATAATAAAGCTATTATCATCATTATCATCAACCTGTGTGCGTTCACTGCTGGAGGTCTCCCTCAGCTCTTTCTTTCTGTCTCTGTCTTGTGCGGCTTGTATCAAGTTATAACAGGTGACGGGGTGGCCTGACTCAAGTTATTGTGACATAGAAGAATACAGAGTTTACTATTCGGGATCAGAAAATGGAAAATATGAAAATGGTGTTGGATATTATCACACATAAATATCACACATGGAAGATTTCGATGCTAAAATAGGTAACGAAAAATAAGGACAACTTATGGATGAGCAGGGAGAAATCAACGAGGAGAAACAATAAGTATCTTTGCAGCTGAACATGACTTAATCGTGCTAAAAAAATTTTACAAACTACCACCTACAAACTACCTGTATCACCTAGAAACAACGGAGAAGACGTTATTATAAGAAACCAAATAGACTATATATAGGGCATACTATGGACTCCAAAAGCATTTCCACTCAAGAAACATTAAAAGAAGAACTAAAATTATTATATTCAAAACATTGCCGAGGCCGGTCCTCACATATGGAGCAGAAACATGGACTCTAACGCAGAAAGATGAAAGACTTTTGGGAATATTTGAGCATAAAATACTCCGCAAAATATTCGGAGCTGTAAACGACCAAGGGCAGTGGCGCAGAAAATATAATTTTGAATTTTATCAGCTCTTTGATGAGCCAGATGTCATAACGTTCATTAAAACACAGCGACTTAGATGGGCTGAACACATAATACGAATGCCAGAAAATACCATTGCTAAAAAGCTAACCACAGGAACACCTGTAAGAAAAAGAAGCAAAGGCCGACCGCGAATTAGGTGGTTAGATAGAGTAGAAACCGACTTACGAATATTAAAAATCAGAAGATGGCAACATGTTGCCAAAAACCGAACAGAATGGCGACAAATCTTAGAGCAGGCCAAGATCCACAGAGGGTTGTCGAGCCAAAGATGATGATGATGAAATAGACTATATACTTGTTAACAAAAGATATCGAAATACTTTCAACAATGTTTAAATCTACCCAGGCGCTAATATTCAATCTGACCACAATCCTTTAGTTTGCTTGTATAGAACTAAGTTAAAGAAAGTTGTGTTGAAAGTTTAAAGTGTGGTGAGAGTGAGAGATAGAGTTAGGAAAATGGAGAAAAGAAAAAAGGGATAAAGAAGTGGAAAGAGATAGTGGGTACGAAAAAGGAAAGGGGAATATTTAAAAACTACTGAATTTATATTTTTAAAGTATATTCTTGTATATCTTGATTATTACTTCGTGAAAACTGTATCCAAAACCTATTTTTCTAACCGCATTTATATTTTACAGAGATGTTGAAACCCACCTTATTGCTTACGGAGGTGAGAACCAATGGCCAAGCCACGTCACCGTTGGTGGAAAGCTCGTTTTCAAAGGAAAAGCTCCCGAACTTAAATTTACCGAAAATCCCAAGGAAACACCAGTTGTTGGAGAATTATCAAAATCTGTAGAGGCCTTACGTAGTATTCTTAGAGATATCAAGCTAGCCTTTGGTCAAGATCTTCAAGCTAAAACCTACACTGAAGGATACGAATATCCATACCGCGCCCATGCCGTTAAAATTATGTTGGCTGTTACTAGTAAACCATGCGAAGTAGGCAAGCTATATCCAGTAAGTTGATATTTGTAATCATTTTCGTTTATTTAAATGCAGAATAATCTTCATCCCTGAATACTGTATGAATTTTTGGATATATTTAAGGCTAAAGAACGCGTTTGTCATTTTCAATTTGTCGTCAATCAAACATATTTTTAGTTGCAGAAATTGAGAACTCTTCTCTTCAAAAATAACCAATATTCCCTTCAACTGATAACTCCATTCGACGGTCTACAAGTTAAAGATGCCAAGAAAACTAAGGACGTGATTGGATTTAATGATGAACACGTCTTTACCTTCTCACAACCTAAGAAGCCCGAAGGTACCGCTGAATTATATAAAGAATTACAATATGACGACTACTGCGTAGACTTTACAGTTAAGGTAAATAATTTAAGCTACAATATAACTAATTTTATCGATATACGTCACATAGTATATTCTTAATATAAAAAGTATATAAAAACAATAACTTTATGCATTAATCTAATTTCAGAACCGCGGAAATGTCTTCGTAACAGACAATTTCCTCGATGCAAAACCAGATGGTAGAAAACAATTCCTTCACACCGCTGCCCATAACATCATTAAAGAAGCCATCAACCTCGAGCAAGGTTTGGACTGCGAATGCAGACCATCATCACCTTACGGAGGTAAAAATGTATGCAGGGAAGCCTATTCCAAAGAAAAATCAGCACCAGTAAGTATTCAGTACAAATAATTTGTTCATTTTTAAAATTATTTTTTTTACTCATTTCTCCATTTTCACCTATGTAATCAGGTCTTCTGGATAGAATGCTCATACATAATATTTACAAAAAAGCTACAATGAAAATACAAATAGATGCGAAAACCAAAGCTATACCAATCAACATAGGAGTTCTCCAGGTTTCTCACCAAAGCTATTCACTCTTGGACTGGAAGACGTGTTCAAAGACATTAACTGGGCAGATAAAGGAATAAATGATAATAGAAGAAAACTGAGTGATTTAAGATACGCTGATGACATTGTAATATTTGCTACAAGTTTCGAAGAACTACAGACCATGATGACGCAACTATTTTAAGCTTGGGAAAAAGTAGGTCTTAAGATGATCTTGGAAAAAACAAAAATAATGACAAGTACACCGAGCATTAGAGAAATAACGTTGAACGACATAAATTTAGAAACAGTAGGCGAAAACTTTTACCTGGAACAGATAATGAAAGTTAACAAGAAAATCAAACTGCCGAAATTACCAGAAGAATAAGGTTAGCATCGGCGGGATTTGGAAAACTGAGTTGGATCTTGAAAAGCACTAAAATAGAACAATATTTGAAAACCAGAATTTACGATCAGTGTATCTTTCCTATCGAATCGAAGAATCGAAAAACTCAATACAGTATTTCATCGAGAAGGACCAAACTTACTACTGACATTTGCAGACGATATCGATCTAATAGGAAACACACGATTAAAGATGAAGAAGACTTTCGTGAGGTTCGACAAGGAAGCAGAGAAGATGGGGCTCCAAATCAACGAAAACAAGACGAAATATATGTATATGAGCCGCAACAACCAAAGCAACATTCAAAGTCCTTGTCCATTGCGATTGTCGTTTTACATATGTATCTGTTCGATTCCGAGGCACATTTGCAGTTTTCATAACAGGCTGTTTTTTACAAGGGCAGGTTGTTGGCCTTCCGCTTAACCCTCCTCCTTTATCCGGGCTTGGGACCGGCAAGAATGACTGTTAAGATACTCGATCCACCCAACAGTCATTCCAGGGGGAGTTCAAACAAATGTATAGTGCTAGCGACGTAGTCCAAGAGAATAAATCCCAACGTCTAAGATGAGCTGGCCATGTTCATAGGCTCCCTAATAACCGCCTTACCAAGTTAATCTGGGAAGAAGTCCCGACAGGGAGAAGGCCCTTAGGACGTCCACGAATGCGATAGAGAGATAATATATGGTCAGATTTGAGAACAATGGGGCTACCCACTGACTTAAACATCATGGACGACCGTTCGAGATGGAAGCAGGTTGTGCAGTCAGCCAAGACCCACCCCGGGTTGTAGTGCTACCAGAAGAAGAATAACCAAAGCAGAGACAGAATCGGTCAGAACATCACCATCGATGACTTTAACTTTGAGCGCGTTAGAGAATTCAAGTATCTTGGAACAACAATAACTGAAGACAATAACGGAACAGAAGAAATAAACAACAGATACAGGTCTATAAAACAATCATACGACCCGTTGTGATGTATGGAAATCCTAAGGAAGATCTTTGGTCCTGTGCTGGATGAAGCATCGGGACAATATAGGATAAGAACTAAGAAAGAGCTCGAAGAACTTTACCCAGGCGCCAACATCATAAAAGCAATAAAGTCCAGATGACTCCAATGGACAGGACACCTCAGAAGACATTCTAACGAACAAACAGTAAGACTGGTGTGGGAGGAAGTCCCAACTGGAAGGAGACCACGCGGACGCCCTCGTCTCCGGTAGCGAGATAATATAGCAGAAGACCTAAGCACTATGGGTGTGGAGAATTGGATGGAGGTTGCTCAAGACAGAAAACAGTGGAGGCATGTTGTCGAGTCGGCTAAAACCCACGAAGGGTTGTAACGCCACGGAGTAAGTAAGAGTAAGTAAGTATCCTTCCTATACTTACGTATGGTTCACAGACGTGGGCACTCACCAAATCTAATATGGATAAAATAATAAAAGCACAAAGAGCGATGGAAAGATCAATGCTCTAGGTGAGACGTATAGACAAAAAAACAAACAAATGGATTAGAAGCAAAATCAAAGTAAAAGACGCAGGAGAATATGCTGCCAAATTAAAATGAAGCTTCGCAGGACACAATGCCCGACTGAAGGATAAGAGATGGAACCACGAAATACAACAATGAAGGCCATGGTTAGGAAAGAGAAGCAGAGGAAGGCCACAAATGAAATGGGTAGATGACATTAAGAAGATCGAAGGACACAGCTGGAAGCAAGTGGCGCAAAATATAAGGCACTGGATTGATTTGGGGAAGGTCTGTGTCCAAAGAGTTAGATTACTTAAGGCTGAAGAAGAGGAAGAAGAACCAAGTCTTTCTAACGAATAATTGTGGATAAGAAATCGGATAAGGAATCAAAGAGTTCTCCTGAAAACACGCTACTGGATATTTGCTATTGTACCAATACTGGATAAACTGTAGTGGCAAAACAGCCAACTCCATCTGCGTTTCGAGATGCATCGGTATAGAGCACCTTATCATCTTCTTCTTCTTCTAGTTCCATGACCGTTATCGATCGTTGGATATCATGTTGGCTACCATATTCGCTATCGTGACTTTATTGACAGCAGCTCTAAATAACGATGTAGTTGATTTTCCATACCATTGCCTTAGATTTTTCAGCCATGATGTTCTTCGTCTACCAGGACCACGATTACCTTGGATCTTTCCCTGAATGATCAGATGCAAAACATCATATTTTGTAGGGTGTCTCATAATGTGATCGAAGTATTTCAGCTTGCGTTTCTTTATTATATTGACCAGTTGTGTTGTTTGGCTCAACCTTATCATCGTATGATGTATTCACAATATTCTTAAAAGCATGTCGAAAAAAGATTATTTGTTTGTTACTTGTTAAATTTACAGAGGAAAGTGTTTATAAAAGGAGGTGTTCTAGACCATTATAGATGCAAGTGTTTGACATAATTTTGTGTCTTGGCACAAGGGTTGTAGGATCTGTGGGATTAAAAGTATACATTTGAGCGAGTTTACGAGTTCAGGTCTTGGCGAAGTAGGAAGATTAACCACAGGGTCAGTCGGATTGAATGAAATTCTGCTAGCATTAGATAGTAGTTGCTGCCTCCGAAGTTAAACGGGGAGATCATGAGATTCACAATAGAGACTTTTAGAGGGACTGGATCGAAATGCTCATAAGCAAATTCGGAGAGCAGTGTTGTGAACAGAGTTTAATGATTGTAATAAATTATTGGATGAGGACAAGTAAACTATACAACCATAGTCCAATTTGATCGGATTATAGCTCGATATATTTTAAGTAGTATACTTTCATCAGTACCCTAATGATGGTGGAACAATGTCTTTAACAAAATCATTCTGATTAAATAGTTGCCTTTTATTTCATCGATATAACAACGCCAGGTGAGTTTGTTATCGACAGTTAGTCCTTAAAACTTACTCTGTTTAGTGTTACTTTGGGTATTTCTGCGCTGTTGCATCTCCTGGTGAATGTAAATATTTTGGATTTATTGGAAGAGAACCTGAAGCCAGTTTTCTCGGACCATATAATAAGAGACTCGACAGAATTTTGTAATAAAGATGAGATTTCAGCTGTGGATTTTTCTTGACAGTATACAATAAGGTCGTCTGCGTATAGGGCAAATTTAACCGGATATTTTGTATGAGAGCCAATATCGTTGATGGCTAGTAGAAAGAGGGTATAACTCAAAGTAGAACCTTGGGATATACCATTTTTAGTGACATAGTTGTTGTATACTACTGTACGATTATTATGCGGGTTCATTTTGTTACTTAAGCCTTAAGAAAAATTATAAAAAAATGTGTTGATTTTATTGTACTAAACTGATAATTTTTGTTTCAGAAGAGACTTCCAAATAAAGCGTGAAGTAATCCACAGGCAGTGAGTTAATTTTAAGTTACATATAAGACTATATAGATAAGTTATGTATAGTTATTTACGTTATGTTTTTTACGTCACGGTATTGAAATTTGTATAAATCATATTTATGCCCATACATCTAACAAAATAAATATATGAAAGTTTAAAAAATGTGTTTTTTTATGTGTAATTTATCTATAGCAGTTGTGTTCAATTTTTTATAAAATTGTTAATATAATCATCCTTCAAATTTATTTATTACACAAATTAAAGAAGTTTTGCTAATTTGTTGTAATTTGTTCCCTCTACCTCTCTTTCCGTCAACTTCTAACAGCTATATCCTTCGTCCCACCCTTCGACGTGACCAAACCATTTCAGTCTTTGTTCTTTAATCTTCAACCACACGGTACAAGATGGTATCTGATAGTGAAGTTGCAGTTTTAACAGTTTTAACGTTTAAAAATAAAAAGGCAGGAATTAATTGACCAAATAAAGGATGTTTTTAGAGGTATCTCTCTCTTTAATCCTGACCCCCCAGGGGGAGTGTAGTGGTCGACGTGATGTCGTTTATTGTCCGTCTCCAGAGATCTCTGTCTCTGGCCATTTCTTTTAATTCATGCATAGATCTTTGGCATATTCCTGTAATTTGATCTATCCATCTTGTTGGGGATCTTCCTCGTGATCTTCGGCCTTCTACCTTTACTTGTATTATGAGTCTTTCCATGTTTTCTGTATTTGCTCTCATAACATGCCCAAAATATTTTAATTGTTGGAGATGGACTTTACTAGAGAGTCGTTGGCTAACTTTTAGCTCTCTTAAAATCGAATTATTTGTTCTACGGTCGGTCCAAGGAATTCGTAACATTCGTCTCCAACAGAACATTTCAGTGGCGTCTATCTTTCTTCTCTCCGATTGTCTCAGAGTCCAAGATTCACATCCGTAGGTCAGTATTGGGAATATTAAGCAGTTGATCAACCTCATCTTTATCGCTCTTGAAATTTGACAGTCCTTCCATATTTTGGTCATGGAAACTTTTGCTAGATCACATCTACGTTTAATCTCTTCTTGTAATGACCCTGTGTTTGTGATTAATGATCCCAGATATAAGTATGAGCTCACAACCTCGAACCGGTCAATTGTGGTTATGTGTGGATGATTGTTGTGTAGTCTATCCACTATCATGATCTTTGTCTTTGATATGTTTAATTGCAGACCAAATATTTGACTTTCGTTTTCGATCAGTCGTATAAGTTCTATCAGCTCTGCTTGACTATTTGCAAGAAGGGCTGTGTCATCTGCGAAACGTAGGTTGTTTAGTTTATGACCATTTATTAAGATGCCCTTTTCCCATCCTTCAAGTGCTATTCGCATAATATACTCCCCATATATGTTGAATAATTGTGGAGATAGTATACATCCTTGTCTGACACCCCGTTCTGGATGAAATTCGTTCGAAAGTGTGTCAAGTACTTTAACTGATCCAGTAGTGTGTTCATATAGTTCGGTTATAAGCGTAATTAGATGTTGTGGTACGCCTACTTCTTTTAGTATTCGCCATACGTGTCTCCACTTGAGCCTGTCGAACGCTTTACGGTAATCTATAAAACAGATATATAGTGGGATGTTGAATTCCCTAGATTTCTCGATTATCTGTCTTATATTCAGCAGGTGTTCTCGAGTGCCTCTACCTTTAGTAAATCCAGTTTGCTCTTGTGGAATTTTTCTTTGAAGGAATGTTTTCAGTCTCTCATTGATTATATGTAGCATTATCTTGCTGGCATGGGATATAAGAGAGATAGTTCTATAATTGTCGCATTTATGGAAGCTGCCTTTTTTATGTATGGTCGTTATTGTAGATTTTGTCCAGTCTTCAGGCCATTGTTTGGAATGCCATATTTGGTTACAGAGTAGATGAAGTAACTTTACGCCGGTTTCTTCTGTGGCTTAAGTATTTCTGCTGTTATCATATCTGGACCTGGTGCTTTGTTATATTTGAGCTTGTTGATAGCCTGTCTTACTTCATTTTCGAGTATATCAGGTTCTTCTTCCACCTCGTCAGAGATTTGGCTAACAAGCTCTTGGCGTTGACCATCTTTATATAGGTCCCTACAATAAGATCTCCATGTCTCTGCTATGTCTTCTCTGTTTGTTCTCAGGGTTCCAGTGTTATCTTCAATGGCCCAAGTTCTGGCTCTGAAGTCTCTTGTCAGGTAGCGTATTTTTCTAAATAGATCTCTCGGCTGATTATTCTGACCATGTCTCTCAATTTCTTTGCATATACTTTGATAGTACTGTTTTTTGTCGGCCTTACATCTTCGTTTTATTTCTTTATCGAGGTTTCTTAAACTAGCTTTTTCCCTTCCACTATGTACACCACTTTTACAAAGATTTCTTCTATTCTCAATTATTTTAAGAGTTTTATCTGTTATCCAGTGTTTCCGTTTCACCGGATTATTTTTCTTTGAGCGATCCAATGGTGTTGTTACGCAATGTTTAACAGTCTCCCATATTTCTTGAGATGAGGTATAAAACTTTGAAAAAACAAAGATGATTTTTATCTACTGACATGAAACTCACTTTATTCGAACGTCATTGCATATGTCATATGCATGGCATA